TTTAGAGTGGTGAATGTCAATTTTTGAAAACATGGACACTAGGAGAAAATCGTTGTCGAAAGCTTCTTTGTTTTTCTACTTTTCTTTTCCTATATGAAGTTAGTTAAGGAAAATTATGAGGTTAATATCAACTTACTCGGTTGAACAAAGTTTCGAGTTATAAGCCTGCGCAAAAATTCCTGATGTATAATAGTTGCTTCATTAATATTACTGAGCTATGAAAGCATAACCTCTTTTTACCAATCAATCATTCCACCAACATCTTCCTCTCTTTTTCGTTGTTAAGGTCATATGAGTTAAAAATTGTTTCATCAATTAACTCAGTACGTTTATTGTGTGGTTCGATGAAAGCCCAGATATTTTAAAGGGAAGAATATATTAAGTACAATGTAAAAGACAGAAGTAACTCAGTAATAATATAATGGTTTGAGGAATTGAAACAAATGCAATAAATGAGAATGATGAGGATAATGAGAACAAAACATATTTATACATAAATATAAGTGGTGTAAAATATCCCCTCTTCTTAGTACAGAAGGCAGCAGCCTTCTGTGGGAGAGAAAAAACCAGATCCCGGCTTATAACGAAATTAGGAAAAGACGACGTAAATGGATAGGACATACATTACAGAAATCACCAAACTGTATCACGAGGCAAGCCCTAACTTGGAATCCTGAAGGGAAAGCGAAAAAGTGGAAGGCCAAAGAACATATTAAGTCGGGAAATAGAAGCAGATATGAAAAGGATGAATAACAACTGGAAAGGATTGCTTAGGACAAGGTTGGATGGTGAGTGCTGGTGGGTGGCCTATGCTCCTCTACGAGGAATAACAGGTGTAATTAAGTATGTCAGTACTCATACATAAGAAAACATGACGAATAGATTTTAAAATGACTCTCAAAAAATCTCACTGCTAACATCACTTCAGTAGATGATGGTGAATATATAACATGCATATATTTGTACGTGCCTAAGTGTGGAGAAATTTCAAAGCGTGAAAGAACCATTGAATGAGAAGCAGGAGAGAAATGTTTATAAGAGATAGTGAGGAGAGGTCATCATCAGTAAAGTTCTTATTGATCAATTGTAATTGTTTTGACTTTTTTCAACAGAAAGTTTTTTGTTCAATAGAACAAACAAGAACGATAACACACACTTTTCTTTCCTGTAATCACTTTTATCATTATTATTATTATTGCTATTTATATCATTATTACTCCGATACCCATTGCCGGAAATAAAGAAAAAATTCTGAAGTATTCTTTTACTTGTTCTTGAGGCATGCCAACCAATCAACCAAGTAGCAAATCACCTGAACAATAATTTAGTTAGGTTGGTAGGCGAGTAGAAAGTTGGATACATTTTTAAGTTTGAATGAAAATACAAACACACACACACACACACTAGAAAAACATATCTCAAGATGCTGGTACTTCATTTAGACATTCTCCCTATTTAATATTAGCCCTTATCCATCAAAATGATAATAATAATTTATTTTATTACATTTAATAACTTCCTCATTTTAGTCTGCATACCGGAACCGTGATGGCTAATTTGTGTCTTAATGAGTAGGTCTGAAAATACTTCTATATTTATATATATATATCCCTCAGTCTTATCTCTAAGATAATTGTCTACACTGTACACAATAATGATCTTCAGTCATTTACGTAAATAATTAATATCTAATCACTTGTTGTTTAATGATCATTCTACTTGATAGGTCAGGCTACAACTTATAATATTTAGAAAAAAGAGGAAGTCGGTAAGTTTTATTGTGTGTGTGGGGGGGGAGGCTGTATGTACTGGTGAATCAGATAAGCATTAAAATGTATTATTTTTTTAAAAAAAAAGAAGAAAGAATTTTGAATGAAATGATTTTTACTGAGGAGAAACAAGACAAACAAAATAAAAATTGTCATTACAATATGGGATGACAGACATTTCAGGTCATGTATCCCATTGAAGTTGAAGTTGAAGTTTACTCTTTGACATTTTCAAGTAGAAGAATGAAGACAAATGGTGTTTTCTTTTTGAGTTGACTGTCATTATCCAGTAATGAATGTAACCTCATTGAGATATACACATATCTTTATGGAGCTGTTCAATAATGAATAACATGTGAATAATTTACATAGTACATTGGAAGATACGAATCAGCAAAAAGAAAAGAAAAAAAAGGAAAACAATAACACCTGAGTATATTATTGACCTAACTCAGTTCTATCAACAATTTATTCATTGGGTGAATTCTAAACTCTACTTAACGTTGTACAAAACATCAAAGGGTGTTCTATGGATAGTATTCCTTTTTCATCTTATTATCAAATTTAAATAGGAAATCAGTGTAATCTCATATTATCCTTTGATAAACCAGGAAGTAGATGATCATTTTTTTATTTCTTTTCTTTTTCTTTTTTTTTCTGGTTTTTCAAAGAAACACGAGATTGTTTTTTTTCTTTCTTCCCAAAATTGTTTAAAACTATATATATATATATATCATTGTTACTATTATTGACACGACCTAAAAAAGTAATATTTTCCTACATCTATCTCTATGTGAAAATAGTTAATCTTTTAACCTGAAAAAGAAAATCAGCAATCTTTTACCTTCCTACTATCATAGTGATTATGTTTTAGTTTTTTTTTTTTAAAATAAATAAATAAATAAATAGAAAGGTTTAAATTAGGTGTGAAGAGAATTGGGCGGTTAAAACAAAGTATAGTGTAATAATTATAGTCGGAATATTAAATATGACCAGTGACCTATTTATAAAATTTATTCTTATTATTAATATAAACTTGATTAGTACACGTTTTGATAACTGTGTTTATACTTACCTATATGTCAATGATTCTCTTTTTTGTGGTGGTGGTGGTGGTGGTGGTGGGGTAGAAATAAAAATAACATTTGGACATGAACTATTTCTGTAATGGTTTTTATCTTTTCGCTAATAATTGACTAGATCCAGTATGAGAATACGGATAAAGATTGAAGTATGTGATGTTGGAAATAATCTGGCACACCTTGACAATAATAATAATCTATCACTGTTCAACTGCACATAGTAGAAATTCATCTAAAAGCAAACTTATAATAAAAAGTATTTGTTTATTTGTTCACTGAAACAATACTTAATTACTGACACCTGTTACTCCCAATGGAGCATAGGCTGTCGACCAGCATTCTCCAACCCACTCTGTCATCGAACCTCCCTTCCAGTTCTGTCCAGTTTTTGTTCATTTTTCTCATGTCTGTCTCCATTTCCCGGCGTAATGTGTTCTTCGGTCTTCCGCCTCTTCTCTATTTTGCCTTGAGGATTCCATGTGAGGGCTTGCATTGTGACACACAGTTAGGTGCTTTCCTCAATGTGTGTCCTACCCACTTCTAACGCTTCTTCCTGATTTCTTCCGCCGTTGATATCTGGTTTTTTCTCTCGCACAATAGGTTGTTGCTGATAATGTCTGACCAACGGATCCGAAGTATTTTGTGTGGGCAACTGTTAATAGATACTTGTATCTTCTGGATGATGGCTTTCGTAGTTCTCCAGGTTTCTGCCCCATACAGTAGAACTGTCTTGACATTTGTATTGAAAATCCCGACTTTGGTGTTGGTTGACAGACAGTTGTTTTGAGTTCCATATATTCTTCAGTTGTAAATATGCTGCTCTTGCTTTGCCGATCTGCACCTTCACATCTGCATCAGATCCACTGTGTTCATTCATGATGATGCACAGATATGTAGAGGATCTTACATCTTCCAAATCTTCTCCGTCAAGTGTGATTCGATTGGTGCATGCTGTGTTGTATCGGAGAATCTTGCTGTTTACTTTGTGTATGTTGAGACCTACTGCTTCTGAGGCTGCTGCTGCTACACTGATCGTCTTCTCCTGCATTTGTTGTTGCATGTGCGATAGAAGAGTCAGATCATCTGCAAAGTCTAGATCGTCTAGCTTCATCCTAGATATCCACTGTATCCCATGCATCCTTTCAGATGTTGACGTCTTCACGATCCAGTCGATCACCAGGGAAAAGAGAAAAGTAATTCTCTGAAACATGGTGAACACAAAATGAATGAAATAATATACACAATATGGTAAATATAACATCATGGTTACTTAATTAAGTCTTACAAGATAAAATAATACTGTCGAATATAGATGTTTTAGTTTTTTTCTTCTTAAAAAATGATACAATATTGTAAATCTATCAACCAGAAAATATACTGTTGTAACTTGTGTACGCTTAATGATAACACGAAGGAAAAGTATACATATCGTTATGAGGGAGTGATCAACGTAGTTGTGAGAAAGATCACAGTGCTAGATACGTAAATCAATGTTACAATGTTTCATATTCATTGGTGAATAACTCTGAAAAGTAACATTAAACACACTGTTGGGTTTTATACATTTCAATGTTGATAAAATCGGTTTCTATTTAACTATATTCTGATTGTTTTATTAGGATTTAAATATGTATTGACATAACTAATTGAATAATGTTTTCCAGGTAATTTAAGTGTTTAAATTGGAAGTTTTCTTATGAAGGTGGTCGTTACATTTTAATCTTACTAATACATGTTTAATATCAAATATAATTTCAATGGTTGAGATTATGAGATGTAGTGACCAGTGGAGTTCTACCGAGTCTGTTGTGAGATCGTAAGTCACTGAAGATAATGATGGATGTGTCGCTGAATTTCGTGGATTGGTTGAAGTTAGACCTCAGTGGTCTAGAGATTAAGCGCTCGCGCGCGAGGCCAACAGGTCCTGGGTTCGAATCTCGTGAAGCGGGATTAAGAATGCACAGTGCTGAAAAGTCCCACAATAGGACGAAACGGACGTCCAGTACTTTCAGGTTTTCCATGCTGATCTAGATTCAATTGACTCTTGTTTGAATGAATATCGTATTTGAGCATTATACACAAAATATTCAACCAGAATTTATTCAATTTTATTCACACACTTTTTGTTTCTTTTATATAACATTTGTAGAATAACAATTGGTGTTTTTTTTATTTAATTACAATTTGACTTACACAAATATTTCTCAAAGAAAAAAAAAGAAGAAATACTCATGGTTACAGAGGAAATTAATGAAAATTCAATTGCAGAACGTTTACATCAACCTGTACCTTTAGATTTATCTTATCATTCATCAATTTCAAATGAATCAAATATTTCTAATCAATTATCAATTTCAACAATAACAACACCATTTATTAATAAATATGATAAATCTACTAATATACAATTAAGTAGTTTACAACATACATGTATTAGTATACCAATTAAAACATCACAATTAAATGATAAATTCGATAATCAATTATATTTTCCACAATCATCTATTATAGAACAAGTGAATACATTATATAGATCTAATTTAGAAAAATTACAAATGTTTTATACATTGAAAAGAAGTCAATTAAAATCTATGAATGATTTATATCATTCACCATTAATAACTATACCACCACCTGAACAATTATTAGCATTAACAATGTTACATAATCATAAATCTATTAAATTCACTCCAATAATCAACACGAGTAATAATAATAATAATAATAATATTTCATTGTTACCAAGACAATTAAATCAAACTATTAAAAACGACTTAGTTACTAATTTATCTTCAACTATTCCATCATTATATGATAATCAATTCATCGATTTAAACAATAATAATAATAATCAATATTGTAATTCAATTCCATTTGAATTAATATCGATTTATTTAAAAATGTTAGAAAAATCAAAAAATTTTAATGAAATTTACAAAAATGATGGTAGTAACTATTCCTATGAAACTATTTATAAATGGTTATTATCATTACGTAAGAATATTTATACAACAATCGATAAAGATTTAAATAATCCGCCTTTGAATTATCCAATTAAAACAAAACTTTCACAAACAGTAGTTCATGTTGAAAGTGATAATAATAATAATGATAATAATAATAATAATAATAATAACGGTATTAAGAATATACCTAAGAAACATAAAACAATAACAAGTGTTTTAGATGTATTACCATCAGATAGTATAGAAGTAGTACAAGGATTATTATCAACATGTGTAAATCATTTTACACCTAAACGTGAACGTTATACATGCCATTTTTGTGGTAAACTATTTCCTAGATCAGCTAATCTTACTAGACATATACGTACACATACTGGTGAACAACCATATAAATGTATACATTGTCCAAGATCATTTAGTATTAGTTCTAATTTACAACGTCATATACGTAATATACATCAAAAAGAAAGACCATTTCACTGTAATGTTTGTTTAAAACGTTTTGGACAACGTGCCAATTTAGAGAGGCATGTTCGAAATCATTTAATCAGTAAATATCATCATCATCATCAACAGCAGCATCAATACAAGCCATTATTATCACCTACATGGTCATCATCATAATCATCCTTCATCTTTTCAACAGTGAACACAAATTTTTCCCTAGAATAACGTGATATTATATCAAGTAATTCAAATAGAGTTTATCCTAATGCTGTCCATCAATAAGACAGACATTTCTCTCTATGTATTCTTATTTAAAGCCTTTAATATTAGTGATTTTATAACTTTCTTCTCAAATCAACCCTGATAAAGAATTTTGTTGATCTTGTGTTCATATATACGCATACATATATGATATAGTTACTTGATTTGATGTAATTTATGTTTGTTTGTTTGTTGTTCACATTGATGACCATGATCTTATGATTGGTTTGATCAATCAATTATGTATATCTTGTCTTCTCTTCTTTTTCCGTTGTTGTTGTTGTTGTTGAAAAGTAGTAATAATTGGATGATGTACTCGCTTCCTTTAGTTATCTTACATATAATACACCCTGTGTAGTGTATATCGTCTGTTATCTGTCATATTCATGAATCTATACATGCAAATATATACACATTTATATACAGTTTAATACATATACATATATATATAACAAGATAAGGAAAAGACTTCACATTGTTGATGATAAGTTGTTTCTCTCTTTTTAGATAATCCTGTAGTTATTAACAACCAACCAACCAATCAAATCAACAACAACAAACCAACGAACAATCAAACAAAAGTATCTCATATTTATCACATCCTTAAATAATATGGATAAATAAATGACTACCGGAAAACAAAATTTCTTCTTTCTTTCTTTCGTTCGGCAACCATCATTTGCATAGCGTTCATTCTGTTGACATGATGATGATGATGATGATAGTGATGGGGTAACTGTGTCTATGTGCGTATGTTTATATCCTCAGTAGGCGTTCATTAGTAATTGTGATTATCTGATTTCTCTTATATCCTTATGATTGTTGTTGTTGTTTTTAAGTCTTGTTAGGTCTTTTAAGTTGAAAAAAATTTGCAAAAATTTAATTAAATTTTCAGAGAGGTTATCAATTCACATGTCAGTTGAATGGGTTTCCTGTTAAAGAAAAAAAAAAGATTCTAGAAAAATATAAATTATTTCAATGAAGGATGAATCAATTGTTAGTGTATTGAATATATTAAAATATAGTTTCTTAGAAATAAGCGGCTTTAATGAAGTTACATTATTTGAACTGAATGGTTTAATTATGAGGATAATGGAAACTATTTGATGTAGTTTATAATGGAATATGCATGGTTTAGTTAAATCCCAAATTGATTGAATTCAGGAATGATCTTTGTTAAACCTGAAGTTTGAGGATGAAATCCCGTGAAGTTTTACGAGTACCAATTCTATTGATTGACTTCATACTAAAATAAACAATAACTGTACAGTATTGTGTGGTTCTCATTCGTCAGTTGAATGACACAAGCTTATAGTGAAATCTCTCTTCACATTTTGAGAAAAGTTGACTATATTTCTAGGAGGAGTTTGAAACATTACGAGACTTCAGTTTTTCAAACTTATTCAGAAATACCCGGTTAGTGGAAAATACTAAAGTTACATTTAGAGTAGAACAGTGTTCTATTGACTGAAGAAACTGTAATACATTAATTAAATGAATAATATGATGAACAAAATATTTTTCATTTGAAAGGATGATTTATTCAATTTTAAAGATAATTCACATTACGAATTGACTCTAGCTACAGAATCATTGAAAACTAGAGAACTTTGTGCAACCGTTCCACCCTACTTTGTGGCTTCTCAGTATAGCAAACACAAAACCAGACCTCTTTCCAAATGCAAAACTTTCAGATCAAAGAAATGATTCACATTTCTAACTATCGTAAATTAGGGGGACAGCACAACTCTTATCCGCTATCGTTTATATGATCTGGCTCGTAGTTGACAGGATTGAAATTCATCAGGACAATAAATATCTTTCATCTCTTTTAGTTGCTAACTAACGAAATTAAAGTACATGTTTATAAAATAGTTGACCTAGATTTCAATATTGATTTATGAACTTGTAGTGTTTATAGTATAAAATGTCTGGTACTATTGAAAACTTCATTTGTTATGAGACCCAGTCAGATTCCCAATTAACATAAACATTGTCATAAAAATAGCCTCAATTACTACTACGTTTTCCAGAATAAGTAACTATCAGTCAAAGTTGTGAAATAACTACAACAAATTTCACTTTAAATCAGTGACTTGAATACTTTATACCATCTATAAGATCTAAAACCCCTTATTTCTATCTAATGTGCTAAATACAGGACTCATATACCTGATGAGCAGTACTATAATTAAACTTTACCGAAACTAAGCAGTTCAAGTAGCCCTCGATTAAAGAAAGTTTCGAGCGTTTCGAGGAAACGTACAGTTATTGGGGAGTTCGGACGGAATCAGCATTCAATGCATTTTTAAGATTATTATTTTAGATTTTTTTAACTGCGTGCGTGCACTGGAATTCAAAGCTATAAACTCTCTTCCTAAATGACTAATCCCCAAGAACACCTACGAACATCAGTGTTTTTCTTCAGTTCCACTGTCGATTGAACAGGCGAAGGAAGTTCCTTGTTTTGCCCTTCCGATTGTTGTGATCTGGTTCAGAAGTCTTTGGGGACATAGTTAAAGTTCGACTGAAAACTATTTCCCGTTTGCTGTTACTGTTGTATTCAGTATTGAGGTGCCTCTGAAAAACATTTAACTTGACGCACATTATAAAATCAATATGATGGATTATATTCTCTTGATCTGACATTGAATTACGAACTGCAAAGTAATTAATTGAATGGAACAATTTATATCAGCCAACCTACGAGAAAACAGGTACCGTTTATAGTTTTCAAAGATTTTCGGAGTAACTTTAAGAGATAAATGGTTTAAATCTCATACCTTCGGACAGGTTTGATACTAAGAATACTAACTAATGATGATTACTTCTTTAATAAATTTTGGATAAGATAATCGGATTGTTTGTATTCGGCTTCCTTATTCCTCAGCATGTTCAGTAGATGTTTTTATGCCAGGTAGTTTGAGACAATCGTCAGCAACCTATAAATCTCGGATACGCGATAGTCAGTACCCGTCAGTGAAGCGTATTTGTAGCTTCTAGTTAACTAGTGCCTCCACAACACAACTTTTCTGTTCAGTATAAACAATCCCCGATCTAGGCAGTTAGATAAATTTTTATCCGACTTATTTGTCTACTTGTGAGTAGCCTAATTGTTGCCAAATAAGTTTAAATTATAAACAACTTTTATTATTTAGTGTATAAGCGAACGTCTACATAGGAAAGAGTAGCCTTAATCTTATTCTATAGATGGATGAGATATTAGCTTAAATTAACAAGTCCAGAATTTTCTCAGCTATATTGGCAAACAGTAAGTCACGTTTCGAAATGTCAAACTTAGAGGAAATCATAAAATCGAGTCCTACATAACACATGTCCTTCCATTTTCAACACTTTCCTTTATTTCCTAACTATACCCCACCATAGTTGGTTTACAGAGATTTTGCACGTAATTTTTCCTTTTAGTGGATGAGGTTTTGTCATATTAGACTTTCTTAATGAAAATGTTTCACATATTGTTATGAACAACTTGAATGTCCTTGCAGTTTTAATCAGTGGCTATACAATATTATGACTACAAAAAACATCCTACTTTTGATCTCATCTAAGATAATGTAGGAACATTGCCGAAGAGTCCTAGAGTGAAATTAAACAGAAACCTAGTTTTCTCTCGTTTCCACTGGCTTCACAGTTCTTATAAGTTATTGATGACTAACGTTTTTGTCTTTCCTGTGATGTTAGACTGGTGTCTTGACCATCCACAGCTGTCAAGAAAAAGTATACTTAGAATTCGGCCAGCGGTCGAACCCAGGATGCATTTTTCATCCTGCTTGGGAATTATCAGCCGTATGTAACTAGCGATGTTTAAACATAAGACAGTGAGTGATCCTATACTCAATTTTCCTGTATTGAGTCTTGGCACCATCGTCTTAGCTTCTGCTCCCATACAGGCGATAACACATTAAAACTGACCAAAGGCATGCGACCAAGCATTTAGTATAACATAGAGCGCTTAAGAATGCCTCTACACGTTTCTTAGAACTCCCACCTCCTTATATAAATCTGTTGCCGTCTTGTTATTTGTCAACTATAGATTAGAACAATGTATAAACGAGCAATATTGTTTTCAATCACTCGAATATACAGTACTATTTATATGCACATATGAAGTTATTAAACTGATTAAGGCAGTTTATAAGTTACTGATAACATTGGAATAGATTACATAAATAAACAGTAAGTAGATACCTCAAATTGATAGTGTGATGGCATGTGTAATAGTAATGATAACAATAATAAAAGCTTAAATCAATGTTTCATAATAAGAAAGTAGGCCAACAACATTCATTAAAAATTATGAAATTACACAATTAGAAGTCTTCAGATAATAGGACAATGAAGCGTAAACTTGATGAAAAGGGGTCAAAAAAATCAATGAAAATAATAAATAAATCAGAACTCAGTAGCTAAGTGGATAGCGCGGTGTTTGAAACGAACGGTACTGAGTTTGAGCCCAACAGTGAACATCAACTTCTGAGGTGCAGATACATTCAGCTGACGAGTTCCAAATAAGACGAAACGCGTCCTGGATTCCACTATCCAACTTTGCATAATAAATAAATCGTTTGTTAAGGCTAAATCAGCTGAGGAAGAAATGAATGAGTGAAGAATTTCTTATGAATACGCATTCAGTTTGTACCTTTTACTTACTGTTTATTAATGTAATCTATTCCACTGACCTACAAACTGCCTTAATCGGCTTAATAATTTCATATCTACATCTATATATTCATATATATTCGACTAAAGCCAGATAAGGATCTAATCGAAAACAATACTGTTGACATTTCGAAGTTGTTTTAATTAACAAAATGATCATAATATGAAATTATGGATACATTATACAGAAGATTTCGTATTGATGCAGTTAAACCCCAATATAATCGTCTTTTGAAATGGTTGATTTAACGGAAAATGTGAATAAATTTAATGTATAATATACAATATTGTACATTATTTGACAGTCACAGAATAACTGTCGTTTGCCACAACATCCTAATGAGCATCATAAACGCAGAGAATTAAGAAAAAATAAAACCAAGAATATACTATTCTCAGGAATTATGCAAACCTTAGATATTTTGCAAGAATCTCTCGTACAAATGATTTTCTAAATAGTAATGATCCGTGTTCAACCGAAATCTCAGTCAATACAACCTTTTAGAAGCGTTTTATGCAAATGAAAAACAAATCAAATTCAATGATTTGGTTAAAGTTGATCTTGATAAAATTTACGAAATAGTTGGTAAAGAAATGTTACTCGTAGGCTATAATTCAGTATAAGCATCTTATGGCATACTAATCAGGTACAGAAATCTGACTCATATTAATGAGTAGGTAAATTCTGACAATAACAAGGTTTATTTGAATATATATTATCATAAACAGCCTGGAGTATCACAAAGTCTATTATAATATGAAACAGTGAACACCACGTATACTTCTGTTTTATTTAACTTCAACACGGTCTTCTATGTTTTACCATTCAGCCACGGTGAATGTAATAGGGCTGTTAAGTTTGTCTTACATTGTTCTTACTCGCTGCTCTTACACTCTTTTGCGAATTGTTCTATACTACTTATTTACATTCAGTAAATATTTTTTGATTGAGATCATGAATCAATTGATGTTAGACCACCGTTGGAAACCTGGAAGCACTAGACGGCCGTTTCGTCCTAGTATGGGACTCTTCAGCAGTGCGCATCCACTATCCCGCTCCTGCGATATTCGAACCCAGGACCTATCGGTCTCGCGCCAGGCGCTTAGCCAACTAGACCACTGAGCCGGCATCCAATGGTGTTAGTGTCTAACATCAACTAATCCACGAGACCGATAGGTCCTGGGTTCGAATATCGCAGGAGCGGGATAGTGGATGCGCACTGCTGAAGAGTCCCATACTAAGACGAAACGGCCGTCCAGTGCTTCCAGGTTTCCAACGGTGGTCTAACATAAATTGATTCATGATCTCAATCAAAAACTTAACAATCTCCACAACCCCTATACTGATAATTCAGTAAATAGTTGTATTTCCAAACATTTAGAAACTTGTGTTGTAACGTAAGTTTGTCGTGCAACATTCTGAAATATTTACATATACTTATACCTATTTATTGTATTTATCAATAGAATTACTTCACCTCAATCACTGTAGCAGTTATCTACAGTTTGTGCATTTGTTTAAACGCAACAGTTTCAATATTGTTTTGCTCTTGGCTCGGGTTTTGCTTGTTGATATACTGTTACCAAGTTTAGACATAGCTATCAGCTGTCTTTTGCACTATCGCATGTTGTAATTATTCTTTCTGTTACCGTTACAGAAAGACCCTATTACTTCATACAAAAGGACGCGTTAAACGCCACAGGAAGACTACAATCATTGTTTTCAACGTTCGTCCTTAGATTGAAAGGTAAAAGAAATAGACTAGCATTCTGTTTCCGTATCTATCAATTCAAATGCTCTCGTGGAACAAGTTATATTGACAGGTGTTCTAGAAATTTGTATTTTCGTACTCGCAAGCATCACCCAGTGTATGCAGGCATAGTTGTAGGTAGCATTGCTAAAAGTTCATTTCGAGCTCATTTAGTGTAAACGGTTCATACAGCAAGTATTGACCAGTCGTTTACAGTAATACATCGTGTTAACAGGAAATCCGTCAGACTAAAAATCTTTCAAACGACTGAAGTAATAGCTATTCGGTTCAAAAAGGCTGAAGCTTTACGTTCAGAAGAAATATGTTCACCCACTCCTTTTACCTTGACCAATAACAGCTCGATGATATGGTGAGATAATTACATTACTGTTCATACAACCTTCCTCTTTGCATTTACATAGCTTAAAAGTATCTTATTCATACATAATATTATTTTTATAAATTTTGTGAGACTCATTCAGCATTCCTATTTGCTAACTCGCACCTAATGCATATCACTCTACATATTACGTAATTACTGATCTTTATTTACATTATTATTATTATTAGCTCTATTCAGTATATTTTTGGTACAATATAGAATTCTCAGTACAAGGTATTTCAGAAAGTTTTTTTACAAAACAAACAAAGAAAAATAATGGAAGAAACTGATAAGTGTACACATATATATGCGCACTGCTGAGGAGCCCCACAATAAGACGAAACGGCCGTCCAGTGATTCCAGGTTTTCCATAGTGGTCGACCTTCAATTAACTCATGATCTCAACTATTGAAGTTACTATAATATCCACAAAAACCACTTCTGATATATACATAAATCAAGTAGATAGACTACATGTAATTAAGTGTTTTTTTTCAAAAAGTTAAACAGTTGATAACGTCGTTTGAAACTTAAAACATGTAGAATTACATCGTCACTAGTTAGCATTTACAGACGCAGCTACACCGCCAATACATTCTTATTACTTGGTCTATAATGACGGTAGATATCGAAGCTATATAGTTGCACTAGACTATCGTCGTGTAAAGCATTCAATCAGGATTCTTGAATTGTGATTACTCCACAATGACGACACATGTCTAGACTTAGTAGAAATTGAGGTTAGTTTACCTTGTCATTTAGTGGTCGACAGTTGAAAGTTAGCGGTTCAGGAATCGATATCTGATTAACTTGTATTCTTTTCAGAGCATAGTCCCAGTCAACAGGATGCTTCCGGATGTATAGTTTTGTACTTAGTAAAGCGAAGAGTCGTAGACTTTCCATAAACGTGTCTGAATAGGTTATTCGATAGATAGACATAATGATATGCTGAAACAAACAAAATTGAGTAATTTGTTGAAATATATAGATGTTAGGAACAGGTAGTCCAGATATTTAAGCAGGTCAAATAGAACAGTCTTACCATCTCTGTCAAGTCATGCTAACCAGATTTATCCTTACATATACTTATCTTTATTGTCTTGAAGAAGGTTAGAACAAAGATTCGATGGGAACAGCATAAATTCACTTTTTATCATTTGGTTATGGTCGGCTGCTTGCAACCTGTGATATTAAAAAAATTAATTTGATAACACCAGAATAATCAGGTGTTGGAGATCAGGCTAATGTATCCAACTCAACCGATACTCGCAAAATGACTACAGAGTCTACACAGAAGCACAGTACAATCATAAAAGGTGGAGATAGTTACCAGACTAGTGCACAGGGAGAGTCACCACTAGTCCTTATTACTTCCTCCCCAAGACTTTAGAACAACGAAAAATTCCGTGAAATCTGAAAAACTTAAATTTGGCATCTACAATATCCGGTCGATCTCAAGAAAGCAAACTCCGTCAGATAGAACAAATAGTTGGATGTAGGTATCACATGAGAGTAATCACAGAAACTCGTACGGCCTCTAATATAGATAATAATACTATATTCTACAACTCAAACCCTGATATTAACGACTACCGAAACATCAACATCAACAGACAAACAGTAATAGAAGCAACAGACTTCACTGAGATAAGTGTCATGACAGCCACAATTAAAGTATATTGTACGACCACCAAGCGAACCATTATTCTAGATGAATATTATACCCCAACTGAATCCTCCAATCACGAAAGAACCGTTCTATCTAACTCTCCAACGGACAATCAAAGACTTAAAGATACGCAAACACACTAAAGTAATATTATGTAACTTTAACAGTAGGTTACTCCAAGACCTTCATATTTCTTACCCTCACATTATAGAAAATCCCTCAAGATCTGAACCTGAGACATCATCAAGTGACATAAGACTGATAAACGTGTGCGAAACCTAAGTATTATGAACGTCTTTATTACTAAACTGAAAGAGAAAACCATCACCTGGATACATCCAAGCACCTCGACTAGCCACATTTTAGACTTAGTAATAATAGAAAGAAACTCCAACATACTAATATGTGACATACACAACAGTCGATATATGGATGCTAACGACGATACTTAAACTAAAACAATCAAATAACAATACTATCCATCGTACTATTAAAGAATCCTATCATGAACGATCAAGAGTAATACACTCAATGTCTATAGAGTATACAACTAAGTTAGGAAGATCAGTAGATAATAATTCTAACTCAAGTCAAGCAGAAAACACCATATTACAAGCTGTCAAAGAATCAGCTATCCCATACGTCGCTATAAAAAGATGACATGCAGATATAATCTCCTTAAACAGGAAATAAATGTAGGAAACAACTAAGGTTGAAATGGTTGAACCAACCTACCAAGGAGAATAAAGATCTATAATTCAAGCAAGTAAAACAGTAAATAAGAAGATAAGAATAGCCAAAGAAGAATAAATTCTAAACAAAATAACAGAGATGGACGCTACTTTTAAATGAATGACCGACACTTAGTATGCAAAATGCTGGATGATATCTTAGCTACAATAAGTAATCAAGCCTTCAAAAGAAAGCAAGATAACCAAGTTAAAGATAGTGATCTCCAATTTCACTATCGTATTCTATTTAATGCGAAAATACCTAAACCAAAACCACTCAAATTACCGATGAGTACAACCCAACATCCTAAACTTAGTTTAAAAAAGATGAAAAACCGTAAAAAAACCCTGGAAAATGTTGCATAACCAGAGAAATAAATAACATACTACCAAAAATAATGAACAAAATCGAGATAAACTAGAGTACTATGCCAGATTACTAGTTGAATGCAGAAGTGGCGAGTACGTATATATGAACAAAGGGCAAAGATCTGACCCCAATGACTATGGTAGTATCTTCTTGCTGAATATAATTGGGAAACTGTTTAGAGGTATATTTTGCAACAAAATATCCCAACTTACAGATAAACTACTCCTACCGACAAATTATGGTTTTAGAAAACACCTAGCATTACTCACGCTATTACGACAATCAGAGACACTATACAATGTTCCTGAGAAGAGAATCAAATGATATTTATTATCTTTGTAGACGTCACAAAAGCCTGTGATACTCTCCTAAAGCAATTAATCATGGATACATTAATTGAGACTTTTCCATCAAATAACCTGATGACATGAATGACCAAGTTTCTGGATAACCCCAACAGATACCAGGAAACACTAGTAACGACTTCACCATACACAGAGAAGTCAGACAAATAAGCAATGAGGGCTCTATCCTACTTAACCTATCTGTTAAAAAAATCCAGGGTCAGACAAAAGATTATATTCTGAATGTAATATCTCTAAAAGATGAACAATATAAAGCTTAGAAAATCATGCATTTACAATATGCTGATGATCTTTGCCGCCAAAGCCTTAAACACACTGCAAAAATATTTAAAAAGTAAAGGAAAGGAAATATCCATCCCCAAAACAAGTCTTAATAATCAACAAGCATGACAACCACCCAAACATCAATATCGATAAAAACCAAATGGAACTTAACACATTTCACTATTTTGGCTCAACAATCTATAATATACAGGTATTTTATTCCTGACACACAAGTATCTCATGACTAGTTTAACAGAAAGAAGATAACCTAGATTATGACTGAGTAAAAAAACAAAACTTTATATATATATATATATATATATATATATATATATATATATAATCATTGAATAGGTAATGTTAATTGCTCGTCCGATACAAATATTCACATCACGAAGCAGCATCATTCAAAAAATAGAATGGGACAATTCACACATTATCGAGCAACAGATATTCATCAATCAGTAACAGGAGCAAAAAAGTTATTCCAAAGTAAATTCTCTTATTTAATAATTACAATACAAATAAAAACGGTCCTCTCTTCATCTAGCATTACAGTTCAAACGAAAGGGAATTTAAAAAAACCCAGATAAGTAATGAGTAAAAAAACTAGTGGGATAAAGTTAATCACAGCTATTTTGATTATAAAGAAGCCGAGTAAAAGTAGGTTAGCAACAAAACATAAATAACTAAGGATTTTCAGATTATATCTTGTGTACCCATATGAGAGATCGTCAGCCTCAAAAGTAACTATCACCATAAAAATTCACATAAATCTTCTTCGTTTGACAATATAGGCTAGATAGCTGAAAACAAGCAATAGAAGAAACAACACTCAACACAGAGTTTGTTGCTGTTATTGAGATACTGGTGGGAACATTTGAGACGATGAACAAAACGTATTTTCCATTACTGTTGATGTTGGTATAAATATATTAGTAGGAGTACAAAGTAGATCAGGGATAATAGATGGCACAACACATATTGGATGGTCAACAGAAATGCATGAGGTTGGCGGTGTTGCTGAATGAAATGGAGGTATGGAAGGTGTAAAAGAACTAGTAGTTGAATTATTCACAGAACTTTGTTTACGATGAGCATAAGCTGGTATATTTGAATACTGTTGTTGTTTTTGCGTTTGCATATAATTTCCAGCGGTATTTGAAAACTCTAGAAAGGAAAGAAATCAAGCTACATAAAAATAAATAGATTCCAATCGCTGAAAAGTTCCCATCATCATTAAAACACAGATATATGAACGAAGAATATTCTTTTCAATAAATTTTCAGGTCCTACAGTTAAATATCCAATTAGTGATCAGGTTTAAGGTCAAATACATCGTTTAAAATTATAACATGTGCAATTACGATAGATTCGTTAATGTTGGATCGACTAATAGGAAGTGTTGACTTGAAATTGTTAGGTTAATTATCAGGGTGGTTAATAAACAGCCATGCTCTAGTTTTCTGAATCCGTTGCCATCAGGCGTGGGAAACCTGATTTATGTGTTCAAAAAGAGATGGTTGTTGACCTTTCTTCATCTTGATGACAAATTTTCCTTCATTACATTGTAAAATTTCGTTTAGTTCTTTCTCTCAATTAATTGCACCATTAGTTCTTTTCTTTCAACTGTCCTTTAGATTAATAATCTTATTTCGATTCACTGAGCTTTGCTTGTTTTATCCTACTTGTTATCAGTGCTTACTCATTACGTAACCACTTGTTTCTAACTCTTCGGGCTTTTTTATCACCAATGTTATATAATGCTATTTTACTTAAGATATATATATATTTAAAATATTTTATTCAGTCTATTGTTCCTTCTAGTCAAACTTAGTTGGTGAAGCCGACCGCGCCTTCTGGAGAAGAGGTGTACTTAGAAACAAGGCACAAGTACTGGAGCGCAATAGATATTTTTGCCGTTTTTTTTGTCTTTTTGGCCTTACTTACTGTTCAGTGATCGATGACCATTTGTGTACTACAGACGTGATTAATCATCCTTTACTTTGTTAGTAGTTTCTTTTTGTATTTATTGAATGATCATTGGTGTGGTTTTCCCCATTTCATCCTGTGTTGTTGTGTGCCTTCGTTGTTGACGTTCATGTGGTTTATTATATGACTGCTTGACATACATATTTTTTATATAAATTTATCTTGATACATCCACTTATTATATAAACCATGAGGCAGTAGTAAACAACATTAAACGTTTTATGACAATGAATATGACACGGATTTAGTAAATAGTTAGTCAAATCACAGACATGTGAAATACTTACTTTGTCTTATAAATCATGCTTCAGTAGTATACAATAGTCACATCTGCTTAAATAACACTAATGGCGAGAAACGCTAAATACTCTTGCACCAGATCATAGTATAATAGATACTTCGAGGACTCACTTGGTTGTCATTTTTAAAAAATTCTCCATTATGCATTTTTGATATGCCTTTCAACGACAGGCACTGAACAGAACTTCACAATCCACGGAGTTGAACACCGCTTCAGGATCAAGAAATAAAATTGTCGTTGGAAAGTGTGTCTCAGTTCCAGAACCTGCCAAAGGGCGAATATTTGGTCTACACATCCACATCCATGTCTGAAACCAACCTATTTTTCTCGGGTTTTCCCTTCACCAGCTCCACTTAGACGTCAAAGTATTATGGAGGCCAATATATTAGACATTATATTAGTTAAACTGGTTCCTATATAATTTTCACAAAAGGATTTTTGTCCTTTCTTGTAAACTGGGATGACCAGTCAGATGGGATTGCGTCCGGTTCCCAGATTTTAGATAAAATTTCAGTTAATCTAACTGCTAAAATTGGACCACCTTCCTTAAAGGTATCAGGCAGCGCTGCTCTCCCTCGCTTTAGATTACTTATGTAATCAACGAACATTCAGGTGGGAACAATCAATTTATTAGTTGATACAAAATCACGGGATATTTTCATAAAATATGAGGACCATAAATTAAACACTTCACCCACCGATTATTCTTTACATTCTATATAATTCTACCAATTCACAATTGCGTTCTATTTACATTCCTGTTCTCTTCAATACGATCTTCTCAACCTTCTGCTGCCAGACATTCAACTTTTGATTAGACATACTACTACTTATATCGAAATATATAAGTAGCATGTACCACACTTATAGCATTTTCAGACTCAATAGTTGGGAGAATTACATAAGTTTACCATTCAGGTTGCTTGGAGATGATGAGTAAGTAAATTGTGGTTGAAAGCCAGTTGAACTGTTCTCCAGTGTTCTACCTACCGGTTATCTCCCGGATTGAAAATGGATAATAGTCCCAACTTTACCCTAGATAGTTTTACTAACAGAGCCTACGTTTAAGCATCCTCCGTTCCTCATCATGATCACAGTCAGACAGGATGAGTTTCAGAGCATCGATAAGTCCTGCAGACGTCGCTGTAATTCACTGATTTTTCTTCACCTTTTGATTTAGATTACTGGTAGATATCACTGCTGTTTCCAGAGCTTTTTTGGTAACATGCCAAACTGCTTCAGGGTGGATATCACTTTCACGATTGACTCACTCCGTAGCTGTTCCTAAAATATATTTTCAACTTTTGCATCAAGAAGTTGAACTGAACTCTAAGTGGTTTTCTTGCTGTGGCTCTTCTACGTACAGTAATACACAGACAAATACGTGCTCGAACTAGAGCAGGATTAGAGTTTAAATGTATTATAGAATGAACGACAGTTTTCAATCGAGCCCCTCCAATGATGGCAAAATATGAATGTAATCCATTTGAGTCGATCGATGAATCGATTGTGGATATCGCCAGTTCAGACGATGTTTAAAGCTGGCGTTTGTCAGAAATAGGCGGTTATCTGAGCATAGTTAAGAAAGAGCAGTTGGCCTACATCCTGATACAAGAAAAATTAACGAACGAGAAGTCTTTCTTTTCCGCTTAGTTTGATATCGACATATACTATTTAAGGAAATAGTGTGTAAAACTACCGTTCATCAATGTATTTTTGTATTTTGAGTTTTATAAGCGTACTTAAACTTCTTTCTAAAATAACACATTATGGCATACTACATGTGAACGTTTACAGACAATACAATGATAAGATTAACAAACGAATAACAGTGGAATCATCGAGGAAATAAATTATGGAGAAAAGTAACATGATAAATTTAGGAGGAAAAATGGTGATAAAAATATGTAATCAATGTGAATAGACACTCTTTTTGATGCCCTAAAATGCTGACTCCTTCATGCAAATCAGCTGCTATTCTCGGCAAGTATTCATAAACTAATCTCGGTGAATCACATTAATAGGTAAACGACTACATTCAAAATCAACATTTCAGATTGTTGGTAAAAAGTCCATTAATTGAGATTTCAATTCAAACTGTTACCCGGTTTGAATAATATTATGGGATATTTTAGTCTTTCATTGTACTAATCAGCATAAATCACTCAGTCATTATCCGATTTGTAATCTCAAGTTGGTGGAAAATATAAATAAATCATGATATTTTTGCCAAACAATAGCTCCACAAATCTGAAGACCAGACGCTATTAAACGTGTTAGACATTTAAGCGGTTGGAAATAATATTCGATTGTCTGAACCAAACATGAGAAAAAAACGACTGAAAGCTGAAACACAGTTCCACTAATATGTAAAACTGGTCAGCTATCTGTAAGGTAAAAAGACTGTTTATTATTTATTTATTTTAACACATAGATATTGGTACAAGGAGGCACCAAATACATATGCGCCACACAGATCTCATTTTATATGTGTGAGGGCTGTGATACTGCCCGGGTGCCCAAACCAAAACAGGTGGTTTTCTTAGGAGGCCACACCCCGAGCCTTCGACTTGAAGGTCTGATCCACAAGGCAGTGGAGCATCGTAAGGAGATGCAGCCCAATTGAAGCCGGTGACCAACAATTGGTTCGTACGCCATATGTTCCCGCAGGATACTGGAGTCCATGTGCACCATTGGTTTGGAATCCGGTTAAAGCGCCGGACATTCGCTTTTCGTCCTTTCAATTCCGTAAACAACACCCCCCGCCACGAGGAGGCAGTGAGTAGGACTTCCCTGGCAGAGGCTATATACGCGTGGCCATGTGAGAGCATTTCGAGAAGGAGAGCGGACTCTCCCCACTCTCGGCCGTACCAGGGCATTTGGGGGCAAAAAAGATTGTTTGCCTACCACCAGTCTACTCCTCACACAAACACACACTTACATGCAAACAATCACACAGTTGGGTATGAGAGACAACAACCAAAGGAAAAAAACAGTAGAAACATTGAAAGCACTCACCTTGTGACATACAAACAGAAATTTGTGGAGCAATATATTTTTGAGAGAAGATATGAGATGATGGTGGACCTGCAGAGGAATAGTGCTGACTAATTGCCACCTGGTAGTACGAATCGGTAACCGTAGTTTGCATATAATGAGTATTATTATTAGTGGTAGTGGCGAGAATTACTGGGGGAGGTGTTATGTATGGTAAGGATGGTGGCAGTTGACCTTGAATATTGGAAATCCTGGAAATAGAAGAAACAGTACTGGCTACAGTAGTTGTAATAGGATAAGGTTGATTTTGGTTGACAGAAGATAAGGAAACTAAATGATCGACTTGTTGAGATGCAGGCATCTGATGATCATTATTTACATTTACTAACAAATCTGCTGTTACAGAAGATGGATTGAGCATAGAATGAACAGAAGTTGAACCGGCAGATGTAAGAGGTGATAATGCTCTTACATGAATTGTATTTTCAGGCACATTCTTCTGACCAGGCATTATAGGAGCTATACCTTTTTCGGAATATGCTTCTGTTAGTATAAATAACACAGTGTCCACTGAATCCCAATAGGTTCCATGACTTGTAAGCGCAAAAAGGTACTCATTGAAGCTTTCCAAAGCAGCTTCCTAGTTTATGAAAAAAAATTATCAGAAAAAAATCAGATTAGGTTCGAGAAAACATAAAATATATCCAAGTTTGTAGGTAAAGAGCACTTTAAGTGAACGCCACATGACTTCTGTCATAAATATTTATAGCTTACTAAACATAATATATACTTTCGTGACTGGAAGCGTTGGGTGTATTATTGCTCAAAATTTATTGTAACAGCGTACAGTCATCATTACTCTTTATCTTACTTAGTAATTTCAGCTCAACATGTTTGTAGACATGCTATTTTTCTTAGAACTTCACTTATTAAGTTGATTCTAATGAATACTCTACTTATAAAAGTGACACAGTGGGATCGCGCTGAACTCATAACTCAGCGATCCGTGGATTGACACTAACCTCTGTTAATAACACTGAGTCATAAGTAGAGCACTCGAGTTTGAATCAATAGATTCCAAGTTCGAACTGTGTTTCAGCTACTTCAGCTTGGAAAATTGGTTATTATCATCAGCCCTTACACATACATTGCAGGCCATAGTTGCTTACATAAAACTAGGTTAAATACATTCCCTTTCTTTCTTCTCCAAATCAAATACTTAAGACCATAAACTCATAAGGATTATAAAGTCATTAATTAGTTACCTGTAAAACATAATCTATACGTCTACCTTGATTAAGTCGACTGTTAAAAGATAAATCATGAGTTGTTAAATTACGATAAGTTGTTGTAACAACATCATTACGATTGTCAGTGAGATTACAAACATTTTCATAATCGTCTAATTCATCGCCATTTGAACTGTTACCACAAGTATATGCAGTAGAACCAGATCCTAATTCACCTGAGGCACTAATAAATCTACAATATAATCATAATGAATAAACAGAAAATTGAGATAAATTTAAGCTTTCATTAAAAAAAGTAAATAAATTTGTAATAGGCAAATTCAAATTTTTAGCTGATTAATTCATGTTATTAAATAGTCTAAGCAATCTTATTAGATGAATCTATCCTGTTATTAGACTAATCAGAGTAAATGATTCCAACAAGTTTTGTATAAAACATTTGAGACTGGGAACATAACAGATAATTCATCGCAGTTATACACTAAATCTTGCCCTCTGATATTTCTACCACCATTAGACGTACTTACTTACTTACTTACTTACGCCTGTTACTCCTCGTGGAGGAGCATAAGCCGGCAACCAGCACTTTACATCCAACATCCAACAGCAGCCAACGACGTGATGGGCTGATGACATATCTTAATGTACGTCCCTAGCTTTCTTCTGAGATGATTCTATGTCAGTCGACAGTGAATGTCAAGGTAGAGGATAGTCGAGCATCGATAATATATATTCCAGCCACTCTAGTTAATAAAGATTTACAATCTCGTCAACCGATTTGTCATCTTCACTTAGTACCCCAAGTTTAACTTCAACATTGCTCATTTGGTGTTTCGACATTCGGGAACTATGCTTCAAAGTCAGCTAATGTCCGATGTTAGTAACACATCCATGTCTTCTACCTCCAAATGTCACATTTCACATTAATAAAGCGAAACAGTGAGGACTGATGAGGAATATACTCGTTTTTTGATATGCACACGGATATATAGCCTACACCATAGGTGATGAAATCTAGCGAAAGCTGAATGAACTTTTTGAATGCATGTAAAGATTTTATCAGCCACCTACTGGATAATATCACTGGCTCTCAGACAATATTTGCACCTCATAGTTTTATATAGAAATTAGCACATAGAATAAACTAGGGAAAACCACATTGGTGAGTCGAATGCAAATATGGGTGAACTGTACTAAGTAAATGGGATGTTTGTTATAACTCATGGTCCTGTCTAACATAACGTGACAAAACCATTAATCAGAATATCGATTTCCAAGACTTTGTACCTGAGCTAACCGATGACAAGGCAGCCATAACTAGTATCTTTGAGTCAACTATAAATCCTTAAAAGTCCTCAATACAGTGGCTTAACACGTTGTCCTGACCGTTGAGGCCAGAACGCAATGAACACCCTCCACTGCATGAACATCATATTTCAAAAAAATAAGTAGTTTATATACAAGCAGACCAGACCATAAAATGCAAATATTAATCACATAAGATCAAGACAAAAGTGGCTGTGAGTAGGGGCGAGTATAAATAATATATTGGGAATAAGTTATGAATAGTAAATCGAATAATAGTAGTTAATGGATCAAACGAAAGTCTATGATAAAAGGAAGAAAAATGTATAAGTTAAAAATCGTCCCCTGTTGAAAATAAGCTCACTTTGATTTACACAACCTCGAAGGTCTGAAGTGTACGTTTAATGTTTTTACAGATGTGCTGTAGTCATTGAAAAATATTAAATTACTGACTAGTCAGTTACTTAGGCATTCCAGAAGATGGCAGTGGAAACCACATGTGTCTGCCGGCAGGACCGTTGATTTTCTTAAACGATCGGAGGAGTTTCTGCTCAACATGCACTAATTAACCTCGTCTCGAAAATTGCTTTCGTTCATTTGAAATTATTGTTAACACTATGGTACGTTCGTGGTCTGAGCTAGTAATTCAAAACTGAGACTTTAGTACCATGAACAATACTCCACGTTCTGTGTCACTAACTTAAGTAGAAAGACTAGCTTGGTAGTTGAAGTTTTATTGATGTCAACCCAAGCATCGTCGATAAAAAAAATCTTGTCATTGATTATATATCGGTTTAAAATGAAAAGAATTTGAGAACTGACTTTGTCCCGAAAACAAATCATTGTAAAGATGAACTGCAATTCTTTAAACAGAGTTCACACAGCATAAATACTAAACTTTGGCTTAAATGTTATGCATGTAATAACAGTAACAGCTAATACAGATTTCTAGTTGTGAAAGTGATGTTTAGTGTGTCTTCGTTATCAGTTTACGTACTGAAAAACATAAATTCTGGGTAAATTATGCATCTTTGGGTCTCATTAAATACCACAGGTTGTAAGCAGCTGACGAGAACCTACGAAATAAAATGAATTCATGTTATTCTGCTAGAATCTTTGTTGTTGCTCTTTTCAAAATGATAAAGGGAACTATGTGTATGAAATGTTATTTGTGGTTTGTGTAATTTCATATACACGAAATTGGCATATAAATATAATAAATGTGTATTCAATCTGCATACACAATTTCACTTACTTATGAGCCAATGCAAATTCATGTAGACTGCGCCAAGTAGATTGAACTGAATTATAGAATTTACTTTTTAATTCAGAACCGACCCAGGCTAAATTATCTTTCAATTGTAAGTGTATACGTTTGCGACCTTTATGATGTGGAATGAGGACAGATTTTTGCTGAAAAACAATGATAACTGTCAATATTCATCTTTAAGAAGAAATAGAAATCGAATACATGGCTAAAAAGTTGTGAAAGCGTACCAAGAATGCAATGATCATATATTTGGGCCTTTATTTTTGTGATCGTTTTAAAATTAGCCTTTTCGCCTAAATACGATAATACTAGATTCGATAAATCAACCAGTAATAACAGTCAATACAAGCGTAGGATTTTCGAAATGAAGTGAATATCGTAACAAAAACCGCTGTTGAATACAAAAACAAGAATAAACAATCCCAATTATTATCAGGTTTCTGAATACAAGTCAACTTTCTTCACCTTATTCAAGCAATAAGATATTCCATGTATATACTCACTATGATTCACGGGTCTGGTCGTATAACAAGCATTTTGTATGAGTGGAATTAAACTGAAAACATCTCTGGTCTTCATATGACAAATGATATCATCTAAAAAGTTTTACTTTTATAAACATCGGGTAAATATAAATAAAGATACAGATTGTAGCTACTAACTTGAATTGGTAGTCCAGCTTGTTTACTGTTACAACTTAATCAGACTACGTACAAACGAAACCAGATAGCTAAATATCCCATGAACATTTAATCAGGATCCGAGATCGATGAGCTTACTGCTAGGTTTGAAGCGGTTACGAGTTCCCGTAGACTGAGAACGGAACAAAGACTCAGTGACCAAAACCAATAAGCTAGCTGTTTGATGCGTCCCAGCCCCGCTAACTAGGAGAAGTTCAAGCTTGGAATGGGGAAGTATATTATGCAAACAGCCAGAAACGAGCGATAACAACAGACACAAATCAAGACGTATATATACAGCACAAAACCGACCTTGGGGAGAATTACAAAATAGCATACTAAAAGACACAATGGACCAATAGCATTTAAGATTCTCACAAGTGGGAAATACAACATGAAGGTGAGAAGAGCGCCTTTGGTGCGAAAACAAAGAAATTCAAATTTTTTAAGTAAAATTACAAAATTAGATCCTTTCTCAAGTGAGTTCCAGGGATCTAACGTCCCCAACACTTACTAATACAAGTTCATCAACAGTGTGGGTAGCTGGGGAATCTCAGTCACTCATACATCATCAGCATTCGAGTATGCCAAAGCATATGAACATACTCAGTCAGTCAGTCAGTCAGTCAGTAACGACGTAGAACTTCGTACGTACGTACATCAGTTCGAGTTGCCACACCACATTAACACAGAGATGCAGTGGACGATTCAAATCCCGTAGTGGTAGAGGTAGCAAGAGTATAAGCAGTAATCGGGAAGATTAGGGTTTGGAGATGTTATTTAAAGAGTATAATCCAGTGAAAGAAATTTGGAACATACTAGTAAGAAAACATACACTGATAACTACTAACACTAACTGGATTTAAATAAAAATTTATCTGATAAATCGTTCTCAAACAACACAGTTGAACACACATCTTTGTGTTATAAGCAGCAACTAATACTGTCTATGCGTCAGATTAGTTTCAACGCCCCAGAAAACTGTCTATATTATAGAAGCCTAAACTCACTTAGTAATATTATTGAGTTTGTAGGTATCATTACCAAGGTCTGACTTGATAATTTCGAATAAATTGAGCATTTGGTAGATTGTTATAAATAAATTAATATATACACTGAGTCACGAAACGTCAGAAAATCTAATTTTCCTACTAAATGGGATATTACAAACATATTAATTTATTTGTCACTCGGTGGTATTTATTCAGATTGCTTAATTGCAACAGCCAGGTAGTTGACCAACTGCATATCGGGTGATGCACTGAAAAGCAAGTTATTTCGTTGAAGGAATTATGACATGATGAGAAAAATGTACGAAATAAGTAATGTGTAGAAGACAAACCTATGGTCAGTAGTCATAATCAACATAGAATTGACTAAAAAGGTGTGCTAGCTCAAATTGCCAAACCACACTAGCACAAGATGAAACGAACGAAGCTAAATGAATAAAATGTATTGAAACTCAATATTTAGAGGAAGAAAGTGACATATTTGTGCCACTGTAACAGATTCCGAGTCACGTCATCAATCACACAAACCAGGTAGACTGAACCCATTGAAATTACTTTGACCAGTAGTCGATGATGTTGATTTGGTCGTCTTTTTTTCGTTTCCAAAGAACTCATTTGTCGGCTGACATCGCACGTCAAAGTAGGCAGTGGTCAGACGTAGGTGATACATGTCCCAGTCACTCCAGTCGAAGGAGATTCACAACCTGATCAACTGATTCGACATATTCAGATAACACCTTGAGTTTGACCTCAGCATTGTTCACTCAGTGGTCCCAAAATACGCGAAAAATGCTTTAAAGATATTTAAAATCTAAAACATGCAGCCTATGTACGTTTTCCTCTTTAATAGGGCATGTTTCACATACAGTAGTACTGGGAATACCGCTGCGCAATATACTCCCCTTAGTTGGCAGACGGATATCTCGCTTACACTGAAAGTGGATCAAGCTGACAAGAGATAAACAAGCTTTCCAAATCAATGGGGAAATTTTGTCAAACACCAGCCAACCCCCCCCCCGAGGTTTGATGAGAGGTTAGAATTGGGCCGTGATCATGGGATTATTCTAAAATTAAACCAGCAAGTTCGTTTAATAGTAATCACTACAATATTATTAAATAGTCCCAACTAAATAGGAATAGTAAGTATAACTCAATAATCTTTACCTGAAATTCTGAATCAATCAATGTTTCCATACGATAGGCAACTGGGTCGAATGGATGAAATATGTTATAAAATGTTGAACATGTTGGCAAGTGAAATTCGCTACTCAACGTTTTAATACCACGTGCAGTTAAAAACAATGGTATCGGTGAGCCTAATGTATATAAGCCAGATATAGGAAAGCCTAATTGAGGATAGTTAGGCAGTGTAATACCAAATCCAGCATTGTTACTGTTGCACTGGTTTGCATAGAAACAATGATTTTCCAACCAAAATGACGTCAACATTGAATTTGAAGCAGTTGTAACAATGTTTGGTAAAATTTGCCCAGTAATGATACTTGAATTGACCAGCATATCGTGATAACTATTTTCCTTTTCTAAATCTTCAACAGATTTGCTTTTAAGTTGATTAATTTTATTCCATTTTAAGATTGATTGAAGTATACTACGTGTTTGGTCAACATTTAATCCATTTTGTGATAAGATTTCGTTAAGTTGACTGATGTTATTTAGAGACAAGTTGAGCATTGGCTGTGATTGGCTTCCATTCGTATTATTATCATTATTGAGCTTGGATTTTGAACGGTTACGATGATGATCGCAATCATCAACAACAGACCATTCACCCATATCATTTTGTCCTGCATCTGACATAGTGATACTATGTTCACTTTTATTTTCATCATTAGTATGATCTTTCGACGGACATGTTGACGATGATGAGGCAGATGATAATGATGAAATATTCAGAGAAGTGTTTGTATCAGTCACCATTGTTGTAGAACCATTACTACAGCTACTAATGCTACTAGTAACACTTGTTATCGTAGAAGCAGGAAAAGTAGTTGCTGATATTTTGGAAGAACTCATAATATCATGTGTAAACTGGTCGACCTTTACTTCACTATGTAGTTCATCAACATCATTGATTGTTTTCGATTGCGAATCTGTATTAGTAATAAAAGTACTACCAATTGTTCTATTATTGTTATTATTATGTACTGTAGAAAACGATACTGTTGGAGATTGATCAGTTGCGGTAGTATATAATGAATTATAAGCGGCTTGATGGCATAATAAATCAAACGATATGACAGCCCCTAAACTATGACCGATAATAGAGATATTACCCTAAAATTTAAAAATAAGCAATTAATGGATATAATTGCAAGTTCCTGACAAAAGTTCCAAGTGAAGTACATGATAAATACAATCTCTTTTCGCTAACTATGGATATATGTGACTTATATAGTGTGTATGTACTTATTTTGAGTAATACCTTAGTTTTATGAAGGTTAATGACACTATCTGAATACCCAGACATGATTGTAACTGAATTATTATTATTATTTAAACACATAAACATTGGTACAAGGAGGCACCAAATACATATGCGCCACATAAATCGTTCGATGTGTAAGGGCTGCAATACTGCACGTGTGCCCAAACCGAAGCAGGTGGTTTTCTTAGGGGGCCACACCCCGAGCCTTCGACATGAAGGTCTAATCCACAAGGCAGTGGAGCATCGTAAGGAGATGCAGCCCCATGGAAGCCGGTGACCAACAATTGGTTCATACGCAATTTGTTCCTTCAGGATACTGGAGCCCATGTGCACCATTGGTTTGGAATCAGGGTTTCCAACTCCCCTAGATGGACTCTTCATGTCCACCAACACGGTTAAAGTGCTGGACTTTCGCTTTTTGTCCTTTCAATTTCTTAGACAACACTCGCTTCGAGAGAAGACAGTAAGTAAAACTTTATATCTTATCTCCCACATGAGAGGACCTTAAATACTATTGATTCGTTGTCTCTTTTAATATGCTATTTCCTAACGTTCCCCAAGGACAATTTTATGGTGCATATATACGCTTGAGTTGTGCTTATTGTCGTTGTTATTCGTGCTTCTGGCTGCTTGTGGAATATATTTCCCTCTTATGAACTTGAACTTCTCTCTCTAGTTAGCGGGGTTGGGACGAATCGGAATAGTTAGCTGAATTGGTCTTTGTGTCGCTGAGTCTTCGTTCCGCTCACAGACTAGGTGAACTCGTAATCTCTTCAAATATAGCAACACTAAACCATTGCTTTTCTAATCAACAACATCACTGTTAGTCGGACATAGACTGGATTAAAGCATGTTTAATGCACGACTGCTTTGGTGCATGCTGATTGGCTAATTCTTATCCAATCAGCGTTAGTCAATACTTAGTTAACACTCTAGAAATCTCATGTGAAAAACTATGAATATACTAACGTTTTCCCTATTGTACTTACTGACTAGCTTCTTGCTTCCATCTAACCTTGTTATTTGGAATATGATCTCTGTCCTGTTCAACCGTGTTCTGATTTGGGGACTTGTCGAGTGATTTGGTGTCCAAGAATACTAAGCAATAGGAATAACTGGGTTATAACCGTGGGAGATATATAACAACCACATAATCATAATAGTGTTTCACCACGTATGATAAATAGAATGCTAAGTGGTAAAGGATGAAGACGCAGTTAGATTACTTATTTAACAGTAATACTCAAGCGCGTAACTGTTCGCCTTTCAAAACAAAATCTCGTGCTTGGCTTTACTTTGCCTTAAAATTAGGGAGACAAAATTAAAACCATAATTATTACAGGAGGAATTAAACTCTCGTAAAAGTAAAGCAGTGGTTAAGTAGTTAGAAAGTCAGACAATTTAAACCATAGTCGCAAACTTGAAACCGAGTCTGTTTATGACCGTTCAAACAGTTGGGCAGTATTACTGGGCACTGAACAAAGAGTGTAGAGAGAATCCATGAACATATGCTTTGTTAATGAGTTGCATCATCAGTTAACGACAACAGAGGTCAAGCTTATTGATAACCTCTCTGAGAGGTCCATTTTCTAGTTTCGCAAGAAAAAAATCAGCAAGGGTAGGACCTAGAGATGAACGCATCTCTATTCCATCAATTTGTCTATAATATGTATTATTAAAGACAAAATTGACATTCATTGTACACTTCAGAATTCTTTGAGGTTAAACTCAGGAATTCCAATATTGATCTGTTTTTTTAAGTAGTTGTTGGCACACAAAGTCAATAGTCTCAGTTAATGGTACACTGGTGAACAAGGAGACATCTAGATATAGCATCCCATCCCCATTTAAGTTCTTATGTTGCATCTTGAAAATGAAATCGAAAAGGTCTCTAACACTTCTGTTGACGATCGTATTGTGTGTAGGGCCTAGAATTTGAACTAACCGCTTTGCAGTTTTGTCGTATGTAGAGCTATACATATCTAAAATTGGATGAGGAAGAATTCCAGTCTTGTGGACTTAGGGTAAATTGTAAAGTCATGGTGTGTGTTCGATCCAGTGGGTTTAAGTGAATCGTGAATGGTTGAAGTTCTGCTTTTTTTTTAAATTCTGTATGTGAATTATTCAGTAGTTTCTCCCCTCTTATATTCATATCCCAACAGCAAGTCATGATGGACCACCAGATGCCATTCTTACACAACCTTTTTATTGACAATTGAATTTCCGTTTGTTTTTGGTTGAGCTATTCAATAAAAATAAAACGACTAGAATAATTTGGTGACCAGTGTCTGAAATAGATTCCTGTAGACCTAAAATGAGAAGCTGTGACAAGAGCAGTTCAACTACGCTAGGAACAAAACAAATACACCCGACGACAGTGAATAACGGACACAATCAATAATTGAATGAACTTGGGATCGTAGAAAATTGAACTCCAGCTCAGTATTTTACATGGTATGGCACTCTTTAGAAGACAATGGTTTTGGTATGCATTGATAAGGAACAAAAAACTGGAACTAAACAACTACTTCAAAAGTCTCCAGTTTCCAATGGTTCTCTGACTTACTTTAGCCTAACCTAAAAACCAAACTATTTTTACAAACACCTTTATTATCTTTAGAAAATTTTCAAAAAGGAGCAACAGCTTACGGTAAAGTTTGGATTACGTGAAATAAATAATTCACGTAGTCTAGTAATCTCTCTAGCCACTGTATTTACAATTAGTTGTGAATATTTAGAACTTGTATAAAACAATATATCCATTAATGAATCATTTGTGAATTGTCTTAATTTCGGTATACTACCAAGAGTGATTTGTTCCAACTGTTTGTCTAAACCAGTCACAGTATCCGAATGTAATTCATCGTGCCAAAGAATCGGCAAAAACTCCATACGATACGGATGATGTGGAAAGTGCGTTTGACTCAACTGTTTAGCTGTATTTCTAAAATAAGATAATACACAAATCCACATTTGATTGGAATATGTCAACTAACGAAATAGGAACATACTGAAAATTAAGGTCGACTGTTTAGACAAAAAACTTCAGGTTAGCGGATAAGGAGGATCCACCCAGAGTTGGTAAACCCTGACTCAAAACCAATGGTGAACATGAGCTCCATGGTCCTGGGGTAACAAATGGCTTATGAACCCATTATTAGTATCTGGCTATCATGAGCATAGATCTCGTAACGTTGCTCCACTGTCTTATGGATTGGACCCTTAGGTCAAACACTCGAGGAGTGGACCTCTAAGTGAACAACCTTCTTCAATTTGGGAATCGGCGTATTATCCTAGTCTACACACAAACCAGATGATGACTACGACTAGGAAAATTGTTCTCGCTTCAACCCCCGATCCCACAATCATGTTCACAAATATTCGGTAACATTAGTTTTTATTTAACATTGCATCACTTGTCTATTCCCTTTTATTCCCGATTTGTGTATTCGTTTATTTTTCAACTCAAACAGCACCTCCCCTATCTAGACGATTTCAACTCGTTCACAAGTTTGAAGTTGAATGATACCCTCGAATGCCCCGGTACGGCCGAGAGTGGGGAGAGTCCGCTCTCCTTCTCGAAATGCTCTCACATGGCCACGCGTATATAGCCTCTGCCAGGGAAGTCCTACTCACTGCCTCCTCGTGGCGGAGGGTGTTGTTTACGGAATTGAAAGGACGAAAAGCGAATGTCCGGCGCTTTGACCGGATTCCAAACCAATGGTGCACATGGACTCCAGTATCCTGCGGGAACATATGGCGTACGAACCAATTGTTGGTCACCGGCTTCCATTGGGCTGCATCTCCTTACGATGCTCCACTGCCTTGTGGATCAGACCTTCAAGTCGAAGGCTCGGGGTGTGGCCTCCTAAGAAAACCACCTGTTTTGGTTTGGGCACCCGGGCAGTATCACAGCCCTCACACATATAAAATGAGATCTGTGTGGCGCATATGTATTTGGTGCCTCCTTGTACCAATATCTATGTGTTAAAATAAATAAAAATAGATACCACCGAATGTGAACTTTGAACCAACACTTCTGAAAACACGTATGACGTTCAAACTGCCCTACTTCGACGATAGTACACTAGTTCAAATGTCAGAACACATCATACCTATTGCAGGGCAACAATCGCTGGGTTTCTTGATACCAGGGGAGACTTCAATTCGTTGGACAGGAATGTTCTCTGGGATTTCCAATTGAATAAGGCTATGGCTGGGAGGTTCATTAACACCTTTAGGACTATCTAAAGTTATGCTTCCGGCTGAATGGTTTCTAACAATTGAGAAAGTTAAACAACTTCCTATGTTTGATCATTGTTGTCTCGAAAGGACTACCGACATTCGGTGGCAACACCATATTAGCAATGCTGAGGTTCAGGCACAGTGATAGTAATTCAACTGGCTAAACATCTTGAAACACGGAATTAGGGAACTTGGGCATGTACTACGAACGTCGTCACAACGAATTTGGAATAGATTTTTAGAATGCAGTAACGTCAGTTGATGAATCATTACAAGATAAAAAGGACTGAATATCTATTCGCATCTAGTTTGTAATCTTTTACCAGCGGACGTTTGCAGACACCGAGTGGAGTGTCTGATAAAATTACGTTTAGTTCCTATCTTTAGACATCTCCATGGTTAAGCTGTCAGAGCCTGTTGCTCTTCCCAGCCTTTGATTTAGGTATGGCTTTTTCTACTTTATGAAGGACTCATATTGAAACCTTATATGGGTTTATTGGTAAAGGTACTGCTTTTAGTCTGATCGTTCTCCAAACTAACCACCTGGTATCTAAAGAAACAGGGCTCCTAACAAGTATACCTGGATTGGGTCGTTAAGATCGAAATTCCTAAACATCACATCAACTTAGCAGCTACGATCAGGATAATAAATGTACAAGCGACTTTCATGCAAAAACGAAAACATATAAAAACTATCGAGCACTGGGAAATCGTTCCGTTTTAGTTTATGACTCTTCAACGGTGTGCATTAATGACCGCTACAGGCAGTCAAATTCAGAACCACAAAGTCAGAGTTCAATAGTTTGCATTCCAAATATCAAGTGATTTATGATAATGCCACGATCTTCATGCAATGTTATCAGTGAGCAAGAACATATCATATTTGACATAGTTGGGTTCAGTGCCAGTGGCTTCTCAGGGGTCGTGAGTGAGCACTATTGAGTCACATACTAGGACGAATATCACCTATGAATTTTAAAAATGTCCACAAAACCTCTTTACCTAAAAATGTTATCCATATGAAAAATAAATACATGTTCCACACATAAATTAAGTTATACTAAGTGACGAAACTTCATACAGTTAATTTTATACGAACACAAGAATTTAAAGCTAAAATCTGTATAAAGCATTAGTTAGATAAATGATACAATGTTGAAATTTCGCACGATATAAGTTAACTCAATGCAGTCTAGAGTAAAATAAACCCACAGACTACTGAAAGATGCACTTCATTTTAATGAAACACTAAAATGGTTGGTAATAACAGTCGAAAATAATTGATTATTACTCATTTACCAAGTACAGCTTTGTGTACTCAGGGCTTTGAACAAAACTTTGCATGAAGGTTGGTGATAGTACGGCCCAGTTAACGAAATCATAGTAGGTATAATGGGTTTTAACCTGAGATTTGGTGATTATACTTGGAGTGTTTCAACTGATATCCTGTCGTCCTAAATGCTGTTTAGACAATAGACCAAACAATGAATACATAGTTATGGAGATCTTTTCTATAATTCACACAACATTTATATACAATATACAATATATATATATATATATATATATATATATATATATATATATATATATATCACGAAGCACTTATCAGTATTTGAAGTACTATATAACTTTCACATACGTAGCACTCACCTCATATCATTAACACATTCTATCAAACCTTGTCCTTTCAAATTATATATTGAGCCGATGCCGTGTACAATGAAAAATAACTGATCAATTGGTTTATAATCTCCTTCGTCAATCTGTTCCATCAACTGTTCATTTAGACCACGATGTAGGTAGCACACACGTCCTTCGAATAATTGACCAGTTAAAGACATTTCTTGGGATATTTGACTTGGATCTAAATGAATAAATGGTGACGATGTACCGGCAACAACATTTCCCGAGTTCGTTGTTGAAGATAAATCATATGGCCAGGCTAAATACTGAATCATTGACTAAGAGTAAAACAGAAGTGTGATATCGAAAAAAAGGAAATAAAGAATAAGTTTTATCGGTAGTAATGAGAATAAATAAGGTGTTAGGCAAAAATTAAAAATATATTTGACGATATAAACAGCGAGAAACTACATTCTTATAACTTTGACTGAACACATCTAATTCATGAAACAATGACCCCTAATAGCTATGGTACAGCCGAGAGTGGGGAGAGTCCGCTCTCCCTCTCGAAATGCTCACATGGCCACGCGTATACAGCCACTACCACCAAAGTCCTACTCACTGCCTTCTCGCGAAGGGGGTAGTGTTTACGAAATTGAGAGGACAAAAAATGAATGTCCGGCACTTTAACCGGGTTGGTGGACACCTCGTGTTCACCTAGAGGAGTTGGAAAACCCTGATTCCAAACCAATGGTGCACATGGGCTGTAGTATCCTGTAGGAACAAATTGCGTATAAACTAATTGTTGGTCACCGGCTACTATGGGATTACATCTCCTGAAATCCATTCCATATCAATAATTCACAATGTCCGAAAATCAGCATAGATTTTTCCTAACAAGAAAATCGACTCTAATGTTCAATACAATAGTTATCAACAAAACAATTAGTTCCTTTGATAACTTTGGATAGTGTAATAAGAAGACGAAGATCATCAGAAGTGTGATGACATATTAGCGCAATACATTTCGATAACACATATACTTGTTAAGAACATTTATATATATAAATAAAAGGTCAACCAGACTAGAAATGGAGGATAAGAGGAGACAAAAATAATAAACAAAATAATATGAAAAACAATGCGAAAACTCAACATACTAAAATCTTATACCTACTCTGACAATATTAGTTTATTATCCAGCGTGATGAGTTTTCCCATTGTTTTTCATATTATCGTCTTTATTATCTTTCTTGATTGCGATCATGAACCGATCGACTCCGCTCGCGGGGCTCGAACCCAGGAACTTCGATCTCACGTGTGAATTCCTAACCTCTAGACCACTGAGTCGGCATCCAACGGTGTTAATGTCTAACTTCAACTAATTATCTTTGTCTCCTCTTACCCTCCATCTGTTTAGCTGACCTTTTAATTTTTATATGTAAATGTTCTTAACAAGTATACGTATGATCGGATCGTTCGAAATATATTGCGCTAATATATCATCACATAGTTCTGACAATCTTCGTCCTCCTATTACCTTATACAACTTATGGGTAACTCTTAAAGTTCTGGTTAGTGAAACATTTGAGCTTACCAACAATTTTTAATCACTTTTCCATGTACATTCTGCGAAACAGTCACTTAATAAACGGAATACACCCATTAAAACATTAAATATTAAATAAGACATTAGATCTATCTTTAATAAACAGTCATTTAGCGATTAGTTAGTAACCATGAAACTTGAAATAAATAAAATTTATTTAGTTTAATTTCACCAACTCATTTACCACCTAATTAGATATGAGCCATGCTCTAGGTTTGAAAGCTAAGAAATGGAATTCGAACCTACGAATGGGTAAAACTTATCATCGAATAAATTAATGAGTGTATAAAAAAATACAACATATCGTAATCCAATGGAAAACGGATTTTTTTTAAAGGTTGATATCGACTTTAGACAAAAACAAGAATGGATTTATAAAAATGTTTGAAAATAAATTCACAACAAATAAATATGCTAAGTCTAGGGTAGTTATGAAGCGTAGCACAAAATAGGGAAACATCGAATTCATAATAACCAAAGAGAATAAACAAATTATTTATTCGTCTTGATGGAATACTAAAGCTAGAATATAAGTTCTATCGTCATGCTACAATCCCACTAATAAGAATTATCAATATTTCTGATGAGTTAGAACTTTGCAATATGTTCAATACTCAACAATGGTAAGAAAATACAAACAAATAGAAATAATACTGTCAATTACTAAATTACTTGTGGGCTATTAAAAATAAATACATCACTACCACCACGTTTATCTTCTGATGGTAAATCAAAACGTTTGCCCCATTGACCTTGTTCCACACTTAATTTGTATTGAGCTTCCAGTAAGTCACATGTCCGTTCCGAAAATGGAAGTACACGTGACTCACCTTGTGGTCTGAAGTTATGGAAAGAAAACGAAGTGATATTAGTCAATAGAGACACTAGATATTTAATAAGTATGAAAATGGATTTACACAAAATTACTACGTTTTAGTGTTCTTTATATCCAAAATGAATAAAATCAGCTGATTTAAATTTGTAAAAGTACTCAAATTGATGTCTTTAAAATTTGGTAATAAAATCACATAGAGCAGGCAACACTGGGATAAAGGTTTAGTGAAAATTATTCAATTCAGAGTTAGACCGAAATCCCAAAAGCTGGCACACAAATTAGGATACATACTAATACATACATACTATTTTTCTGACCGATGTCAGCAGGTAATGAGAAGCAGTTTCAAGCCGGAAAGGATAAGTAGTTTAGTACGAATATTAGTTCAATGTAAAAGTGATCTCCATCAAGGAACGACATTAGCTGAGAACCACTGAGAACAAAATAACATCCAATAGTTGTTTTGTCCTACTATGGTTTGCTTTCTGTCCTTTTTGTAAAGTCTAATTCAGTTATGTCTAAAATAAGGATAAATAAGAGCTGGTACTAAGATGAGAGCGGATTTGATACGACTCAATACACAACATTTCAATGATGACAACCAAAAATGGATAAGGGAAAAACAAGGACTTGACAAGAGGGCTCTCATTGCTCGAGAAAAAACAATAAATGAAATAAATAACTCAGTATATATAACATCTTACAAAACAAAGAAACCGAAAGATAAGTGTGAATTAAGTGGCGTTGACGCACTGGAAGTCACGATATTAGTGAGATGTTTAAGAGGTTATAATAATATCGATATTTTCGATGTCACTCAATTTGAGACTTAAGAACTGATTTCGATTCCCTGTAGTATTGTGAGTCCCCACAGATGAGTTCTACACGAAGAAAAAAACACAAGTCCAGTATTTTCTGATTTTTAGTTGAACCCCGCGACCGAAGATTAATTTTCAAGATAATGATGCTTGCCTCCAGAATGATTAAACCTAGCACTGATTTTCATGAGATTTTTTTAAGGTGAACGCACGCACAAAGAACCCAAATGAAGTGTATACGGGCTAAAAATGATTAGAATCATAAATTGATTATCGCTTATGAAAAATATTCTCCACTTTTTGAAAGAATAATTGTCTTCAAAGAAAGCGCATCTCCAAAATATATTTGCTTGACTACGGCCTTATAGGTGAGACGCGAATATTAATGTTTTTTAAAAGCAATTTACAGTTAACAGTTAAAATACCCTGGAAAACAAACTAAATAATCTAACATCTATGCTGATAGTTATGAATAATAATAATAATCTATAAATCGTACAATTTGGTAACCATTCATAGGTAGATGTATTAAACTGTGAACTGTATGAACAGTAATAAATCAACCCGAGCATCTGAACCTTTAACACCGCACACCTTTATAAATTTGCATCGATCCTAGCTGCCACGCTTCACAACAATACAACGATAAGAAGTAAGCAAGATGAAATATGGAAGAAATCAACAGAGTACAAATAACATTGAATAAATACATAGAATAATGTTACCAGACCGTTGCAGCTACCTTGACGTGGTGGTTGGGCTTACCAATCGTAGTGAACCAATAATTTAGTACAAACAAAAAGACAGAAACACATTAGCAACTGAATCTAGCTAGCTCTCCATAGTACAGATTTCAACAGTATTGTAGCTTCAGACTTTATGAGATCAAAATGTTTATCTTTATCAACCACTAGTTGAGGTTCAAAAAGCTATAGCTAATGTGAAACGAGGAAGATCGGCTCATCCAGATGGATTGGCTCCAGAGGTATTCAAGTATGATGGTCCAGTTTTAGCGATTAGGCTGACTAATATTTTAGCCGAAATCTGGGAACTGAATGAAATCTCATCTGACTGGTTGCAATCACTGATTGTCCCAATATATAGGAAGGGGTAAAAATCATCCTGCGATAACCATACTAGCCTCAATAATAAACAGGATGGCTTTAAACCTGGTCGTGGCTTCATCGACCACATACTCACCATTCGTCAGAACTTCGAACACAGGTATGCTTATCGGTGTCCGACCGATATTGGTATTGAAATGTGTACCTCAGAAGTACATAAACCTTGTGAAGGCTCATTACTCGAACACTACCAGTCGGGTCAGAACTGATGGCGAACTGCCATCTGATTTTGCAACCTCAAGTGGTGTCCGGCAAGGTTGTTCACTATCACCATTTTTGTTCAACTTCATCGTAGACCTACTGCTGCAAATAACGTTCTCACTCAGTGAATTTTCGAGCTAATATCCTACCAGGAGGTCCACTCATTGACTTAGAATAGGCAGATGGCATAGTCCTGTTTGGTGAAGACGCTGATAAAATGCAGTCTTTTCGTAGCACTCAGCAACAATACCAGAATGTTTGTGATGCATCTCTCCCCCTCTAAATGCAAGTTGTTGCTTCAGGACTGACCTACTTCAACAACTGAACTGAGGGTGGGGAGTGAAGTAGTTGGACGCGTCGACAACTTCATTTACCTTGGAAGTCTGATCAACCCTAATATTTCGACGTCTGACGAAATCTCAGCACGGATTCGAAAAGCTCGTTTGGCTTTTGTCAACTTACGTTACCTATGGCGAAGGCGAGATATCTGTCTATCAACCAAAGGACGAGTATACTGCACGGCAGTTCGTTCACTTTTATTTTACCGCTACGAAAGGTGACCATTAAGAAGAGACGACACCCGTAAGTTACTGGTATTTCACCACAGATGTCTTAGAAATATTGCTAGTATCTGCTGGGATCACCAGGTAAGCAATAGTCAGGTTAGACGCAGGGCATCAGGGAATTAGTCAGTCAGTCAGTCAGTAACAACGTAGAACTTCGTACGTACGTACATCAGTTCGAGTTGCCACACCACATTAGCACAGAGATGCAGTTATCGATCCAAATCCCGTAGTGCTAGATGTAGTAACATTATAAGCAGTAATCCAAAAGATTAGGGTTTGAAGATGTTATTCAAGGAGTATAATACAGTGAAATAAATTTGGAAAGAGAAAAAAAGAAAGGGACATGAAGACTTCAGAAGATTAGAATTTGGGAGAACACAGAGAGTGGATGCACATGCGCCATTGCAAACGATTTTGAGCCATGTCATTCAGGGTCTCTAACCATCGGTTGCTATCATCTCGCGGTCCCCAACCAGGTAGTCTACACCTATCAACATGACTCAGTTCACTTGTCAGTGACTTCATGGACTTGTGCCATGTTTTGGTTTGGCCACCCCTAGCATTCTTCCAACCTACTCCTATACCACTGAACATAGCACGTCGAGGCAGTCGGTCGTTTGGCATACGTAACACATGTCCCAGCCATCTCAACTGATGAAGTTTCATCACTTCATCAATTGATTTGCCATCCTTACCTAGTACCCGTTTCCTAACAACTGTGTTATTTACTCGATGGTCCCATGATATACCAGCAATGTTCCGAAGATACCTATGATCGAATACTAGTAACCTATGAATATTCTCTACTCTTACCGGCCATGTTTCACTGCCATAAAGTAGGACGGAACGAACTGCTGCGCAGTAAACACGTCCTTTGGTTGATAGACGGATATCTCGCCTACGCCATAAATGTCGCAAGTTGGCAAAAGCTAGTCGAGCCTTCTGTATCCATGCTGAGATTTCGTCACATACCAGACCACAAGGGCTGATGAGACTTCCAAGATAAGTGAAGCGGTCGACACACTCAACTACTTCACTCCCTATCATTAATTCGGGTGTTAATGCAACCCAATCCTGAAGCAACATTTTGCATTTCGAGGGAGAGAATCGCATGCCGAACATGCTTGCATTGTTGCTTAGAGTGGTCAGAAGACTCTGCATTTTGTCAGCGTCTTCACCAAATAAAACTATGTCATCAGCATATTCTAAGTCAACAAGTGAACCTCCCAGTAGAAGTTCAACCCCTGGAAATCTAGACGAGGAAAGTGTTATCTCTAAAAGTACGTCAATGACAAAAAGTTAAACAAGAATGGAGAGAGTGGGCAGCCCTGACGAACACTACTTGAGGTAATCAATTCTGATGACAGTTCGCCATAAGCTCTCACTCTACCAGTTGTTTTCGAGTAGAAAGCCATTGTAAGGTTAATGTACTTCTTTGGTACTCCTTTCAATGGCAAACACTGCCACAGAACCTTACGATAAACAGAGTAAGGTGCATAAACTCTTTGTCTTCCCTTAAACCGTGAGATTAAAATTGCTTTATATCTTACTTTCCATCAACTAATTCTTTCTTCCCGTACCATATCCTTATACACAATCTCTCTTTCATAGTGATGTAACTGCTTCTATGAATTTGGTGTTCATCTTGTTGTGCTAATGAGGTGTGGCAACGTGGACCGATGCATGTACTTGGTCCTACGTTTGTAGCTGACTGAGAATAATCTCAAATAAAACGGATACATGGAGGGACTATGAATTGTGAAATAATACTAAGCTTGAGATCTAAAACGCGATAAACAGTCAACAAGATTTGTGCAACCACAGATGATTTTGAGATATGTTACCTAACGTCTATAAATATATAGTGCGACTTTGTCATTGACATCAACCGATAAGTCCGTACCGCTTTGCAAAATTCACCCTAGGGGTAGTGAGTTTATGGATCGATATCATGTTTTAGTTTATTCACTAGCAAAACACATCAGGGCAGGTAGTGGATGACAATACAAGACATATATCCCAACCAACTTAATTAATAAAGTTTTACAGCCCCATGAACTAATTCTCACCGAATAATAATGCTCCGTTTTTTATCCATTCAGATATTTTATCAGCTACCAATATACAAGCGTTGACGAAACCAACAACAGTTTTAAAGTAATATTCTCTGTTTGAAAGGAAAAAAGTGCATCTCGAAATTCGGACTCCGACTACTCGGAACCTTGGTTACTAGGCCTAAAAGTGCGATTTCTTGATACAATAAAATAATCCGAGCAATATATTAAATGAATGAATATGATCAATCAAAGTAGAGCATTAAAAGGAAGTAACATCAATTTAGTATAGATGTAAATGTAACATATATTGTAAAATTTTTGTAATACAGTTTAATATGTTTAGATGTGTATATATTTATGTGAATAATTTGGCATCGATCTGTTTTCGTAATCTACGGCCAGTTCAGTACATACTGTTACCTCCTTATATTTTCTTTTTAGGTGCTGTTGCTGGATATCCCCAATAGACTATTCAATTTTCGATCCATTTAGTCTTTTTTCAGAGCATCACTAAATTCCCGTATACTTGGATGAGCAGCATCAATAAGTTGACCCCCTCCCACCAAATTGTCCGTTTTAAGGTCTTCCGCAACAGAGGGTAAATCAAATATATTTCATATATCATTAAGAATATTATTTTCCCTTTCAGTACTTAACTTTATTAATATGCGCCCTGATTAATGTAGGCCAAAAACTATACATAAATAATAAACAGGACTGTCGTACAATAGTTAAATTCAAAGGATGGTATTTAATATTATTATGACATATATCGCTTACTTATAAAACCACGTGGCCCGTCTAACTTGACCTGGTGATTCGTCCCAGTAGACTGAACGACGTTCTCTTTTTGTTAAATGAACATCGTAACGACCTCCATCAACTTGAACAACAACTTCACGAGTTCCAATTGTTGCTTTCATATCCGATGTAGTATTGGTAATGGGAGAAGCTAGTGAATTTTCTGATGTAAACTGTGAATAACATGATCGGAAAAACTCAGTTTCAATTTGGTATGAATCATGACGTGAAAATGGCCACCAAACGGATATATTTTCGAAAGTTGTAGAATAGAACCAATGGGCTCCAACTGGATGATAAGTGGTTCCTGAAAAGAAAGCATTGGTAAGATAATAAAAATCAGAGATATTTATGCAGGAACACTAGTTGCTAAAATCTCCTGATGTAGATCATTCTAAGTTAAACATGGTTTTCGTCACCAATTGACATTACACAAGGTTCTAACGATAACTGAGTACTGGACAGTTGTTTTGCCCTAGTCTGTCACTCTACAACAATATGCGCCCATGAATCAACACAGTACCCATCTCAAAACATTTCAGTCTCACTATAATTACGATACTACTGAGTTGGGACCCAGTAGTTTACACTTAACTACAATTGATTGGTAAAATTGTAGCACCATTATCTAATGTCTTGGTGAGCAAATAATTCACATCCAACATAGTTGGTTACACAAGTAATAGTTTTTTGACCCTAATCACTACTTAAAATACTGTTACTAACTACTTGATTGTTTTCTGGATTATATCATTACTTCGTAAACAATGAAATGAAGAAACGCTACTGGTTCATAGTTCTGTCGTTTTTTTTCTCGTCGAAAGTTAAAAACTAGGGAAGAGACATGCCTTAAGGGTTATTTTCACACTTAAAACTTTGTGTGACCAATAAATGCCATGTGAAAAAGTCCAAAGGTTAGTTTAATGTAGTATAATAAACAATAATGGATAAACTGTGTATAAGCATATAGAAAATACGATATACATAAGAAATGTGAGGCTTGAGTTCAACAAAGATCGTTGATCTTCACTTTTATGTTCAGTTACTCCGTGTCTTTAAGACTATTATGATAAAAACTTGTTTATTACCACATACTAAACGTGAGAGAACTGAAGGTAAGCTAACTTGGACTCAATATGTAATATTTTCAGGTTTTCATAAAACCTTCAATCTGTCCAGAGGAAAGACAATTTGTACTCAACATACAACTAGTGAACTATTATGTTAAGTTAATATTTAAATCTGCTTGTAGATCAATATTTTGCTGCATCAAAAACTTCGCTTGCCGTACTATACCCCCAATAATCAAATACAAGTTTGCGCATTCAACGATGAATGAAATCTTTAATGTGAGGGTTCGTGGTACCAATACAGCTCCTCGAACCTTCGACTCATCTATTGATTGACAGTTTAATGAATAAAGTGTTCAAACAACTATTAGAATGAATAAAGATCAAGTGATATGGATTGTTATGAAGAAATCAGATGAATTTAAGGTATGTTAAGATCTTTATAGGTCAGTTATACATACTAGTTTAGATTTTATCTCTACAAAATATTAACTAATGATATATGACTTGTCTCCAACCATATGTATCATGACACATTATCTGTTCGACTTAGTTAAGAAGTTTATAATTGGCTCTAGGTGAATGTAACATCGAAAATTTTGAATCAGTTATGATTAATTCGAAATCACGTCACTTGTGGCATCACATCATTCTTAAGGTTTTGGTTGTACACAGTAGTACACTTTGATACAATGCAAGACTGTGAGAAGTGACTGATGAAGGTTACCATCATGGATAAAACTTTAAATGATCTGTCGGGTGTTCGCAGCATAGATCTAAAATAGTGAAGCAAAGAAACTGGTAATACTTACATTAGTGCCATCGACGCGTTCACATTTCATTTTAATTACGTGGTTAACATATTTCTTAAATTTTTATTCAGGCAAAATAGTTTGTACGGAGTAATGGCCCTACCGAGTCGTCTAAACCAAAGTAGGCGTAACGTAGTACGAACCTCCAGCTGATTGGATGAAAACTGAATAATTAAGCGATGCCACTATTTTACTGACTGACGTATTACTGTATTGAATTACATGTTGCTTCTGTTAAATTACCCAGCTATTTATTACACAATTAATTGGTGTAGATTAGTTTGTATCATGGTGCCATGAAATAAAGAATACTTGCGATTGATTAACATTCGTTGGTTCGTCACAACTTCCCATCTGAGTCCCCCTGTTGATTGAGATGTTATCAGACGCGGGTTAGAATAGAATTTAATGGGAAACTTACCATAATTTTTAATTATACGCTTTACAAACAATAAGATACAATTCGAGCTTATTGAAATCATACTTTTTATTAAACTGAAGTGGACTTGAGAAAGACTGAAATTTCACAACTATCCTAGATGTAATTATTGTTTATACTTTTACTGTATAATTGTTACATGCTTGGGTCACTGCATTTTTATATTTGTAAGCTTTCGGCAAAATTGATGAACGGGTGTCGTATGTTTCCCTGTTACGGGTTTATCACTGATTAACCATTTGTTTATTAGCTCCGATTTTGTGTCACTTATGGGTTAGTCATGTACACTTGGTAATTTCTTATACGTGCTGTTGTGTGATCAAGTAGTTAATGCACATTAATCAGTCTGTTGTCTGGAGAAAGACTTTTCGACCTTGAGTATGAGGATGTTATTGTCGTACTGTGCGGCGATACCCGAGCCATGTAATCCGCACTTAACCAGTTAACAATGTCCGTAGGTATGGCATGTGCTTTGCACCTTCTAAGTGCAAAGTACTTTTGCAAGAGTGGCAGGACCCTGATCCTGCACACCTTGGGTAGTGAGCGGATAGAAGTAGTTGAGAAGTTCGTGTATCTGAGTAGCTGCGTAACTTCTTTGATTGAAGAAACTTTTACTGGTTATATTTTTGCTAACTGAACTGTTTCTCCCATTATTACTATTATTATTATTATCATTATTTCGCTCTCATAAACTAATTTCTGTTGGTTGTTCTTCTTTTTTTATATGCATTTTACATTTTCTATCTCTTCACAACCCCATTGTTATTGTACGGCGCATATGTATTTGGTGCCCCCTTGTACCAATATTTGTGTTCAAATAATTATTAATAATAATAATAATAAGTGTAACAACTGCCTCAACTCCGCCTGTAGCTCTTCTAGAGTTACTGCCGGTCCCAAGCCCGGGTAAAGGAGGAGGGTTGGGCATGGGGTTAGCGTCCCCATCCCGTAGAAAACTAACTCGCTAAAAAAACGCTTACCAGAAAAAATAATTCAAACCATTTTAACTCTGCCCTGAGAGTTAGAAGGTCTTCATTTAGAAGAATTATGACACTTCATGGTGAAAGCTGAGTTCCTTCGGAAGCCACGAGGCCGATGCCCCTTCTAACAACCAGAGCAAAAATTTTTATAGGTACACGGAACGTTCGAACAATGTGGGAAACCGGGAAGACCAGCCAAACAGCAACGGAAATGAGGAGATACAACTTAGCAGTACTGGGAATCAGCGAAACCCACTGGACCCGAGCTGGACAGAAAAGGCTAGCTACGGGAGAGATGCTGCTATACTCCGGTCACGAAGAGGAAAATGCTCCACGCACCCAGGGAGTTGCTCTAATGCTGTCCAAAGTAGCACGAAATGCACTTGTAGGATGGGAATCTCACGGATCCAGAATCATCAAAGCATCATTCAAAACAAAGAAGGAGGGGATCTCAATGAATATTATCCAATGCTATGCACCCACCAATGATAGCAACGACGACATTAAAGATCAATTCTACGAGCGGCTGCAGTCAATCATAGAGAAATGCCCAAGAAAGGACCTCACCATTCTAATGGGAGATCTAAATGCCAAAGTCGGAATAGACAACATCGGATATGAAGATATTATGGGACAACATGGACTGGGAGAGAGGAACGAAAATGGAGAAAGATTTGCAAATTTGTGTGCATTCAACAAATTAGTCATAGGAGGCACAATATTTCCACACAAGCGTATACACAAGGCTACATGGATCTCACCGGACCACACTACAGAGAACCAGATAGACCATATTTGCATCAACAAAAAATTCCGAAGGATAATGGAAGATGTGAGAACCAGGAGAGGAGCTGACGTAGCTTCAGATCACCACCTAGTTGTAGCCAATTTAAAACTGAAGCTAAAAAAGAACTGGACAAGTGGACAAACAGCACTACAAAGGTTCAATACAGCCTTCCTTCGAGATACTGACAAACTCAATGAATTCAAGATAGCTCTCAACAACAGGTTCCAAGCCTTTCAAAATCTACTGAAGGAAGAAGAAACTACTATGGAGGACAACTGGAAAGGCATCAAAGAAACATTGACTTCAACGTGTCAATAGGTTCTGGGCCTAAAGAAACACCAGCATAAGGAATGGATCTCTATAGAAACACTGGACAAGATCAAAGAAAGGAAGAACAAAAAGGCAGCAATTAACAACAGCCGAACACGAGCAGAAAAAATCCAAGCACAAGCTGAATACATAGAAGCAAACAAGCAAGTGAAGAGGAGCATTAGAGCCGACAGGAAGGAATACGTGGAAGAATTAGCAACGACGGCAGAAAAAGCTGCTAGAGAAGGAAATATGAAACAGCTTTACGATACAACGAAGAAACTAGCAGGGAAATACAATAAACCAGAGAGGCCGGTCAAAGACAAGGAAGGCAAGCTAATCACTGAAATTTAACAACAACGAAACAGATGGGTAGAATACTTCGAGGAACTCCTGAATAGACCGGCTCCAATGGATCCACCGAACATCGAAGCAGCATACACAGATCTTCCTATAGATGTCAACCCACCAACGACGGAAGAAAGAGTGGTTGTCAGACAAATCAAGAACGGGAAAGCAGCAGGACCCGACAACATACCAGCTGAAGCACTGAAATCAGACGTCGAAGTAACTACAAGCATGCTTTACCCTCTATTCAAAAAGATTTGGGAGGACGAACAAGTGCCAATGGACTGGAAAGAAGGGTACCTCGTCAAGATTCCAAAGAAAGGAGATCTGAGCAAATGTGAAAACTACAGAGGCATAACACTACTGTCAATACCAGGGAAGGTCTTCAACATAGTTTTGCTGAACCAGATGAAGGATGCAGTAGACTCCCAACTTCGAGATCAACAAGCTGGATTCCGTAAGGATCAGTCGTGCACAGACCAAATTGCAACACTACGGATCATCGTCGAACAATCAGTTGAGTGGAACTCGTCACTACACATCAACTTCATTGACTATGAAAAGGCATTTGACAGTGTAGATAGGAGGACATTATGGAAACTTCTTCGACACTACGGAGTTCCTGAGAAGATTGTCAATATTATCCGGAACTCATACGACGGACTAAAGTGCAAGGTCGTGCATGGAGGACAGCTGACAGATGCATTCCAAGTAAAGACCGGGGTCAGACAAGGCTGTTTACTCTCTTCCTTCCTCTTTCTTCTGGTGGTCGACTGGATTATGAAGACCTCGACATCTGAAGGAAAACACGGCATACAATGGACAGCTCAGAACCAATTAGACGATCTGGACTTCGCAGATGACCTAGCCCTTCTATCACGTACACACGAACAGATGCAGACGAAGACAGCCAGTGTAGCAGAAAAGGTGAAGGCCATTACGAACCTCAGAAGCATTATAGATGAACGACGAACACCCCGTGAAGATGTCAAGGCACAAATCGGAAAGGCAAGAGCAGCATCCCTGCAATCGGAGAATATCTCGGACTCAAAACACCCGCCACAACTGTCAGAATTTTTACCACTAACATTAGGACTGTTCTTTTGTATGGAGCTGGAACTTTCAGAACTACCACAACCATTACCGAAAGCGTAAAAGCATTCATAAATAGCTGTTTATCTTCGATACTCCAAATCCATTGATCGATCAATATCGATAAAAAACCTACTTTGACAGAAAAAGCCAGCTGTCAACAGAGGAAATTAGAAAAATATGGAGGTGAATGGGACATACTTGGAGGGAACCATCGGATTATCACAATACAGGCCCTAACTTAGAATCTTTAAGGCAAAAGGAAAGGTGGCAGATCAAAGAATACATGGGGCCAGGAGTTGGAAGCAGACATCGATATCATGGATAAAACATGACAGCAAATAGAAAGCATAACCCAGAACAGGGTTGCTTGGAGACCCTTGGTCTGCAGCCTATAAGTCTCATGAGGGATAAATCTGCTTAAGTAACTCATTAATGTGATAACAATTACAAAGCAATGTGTGATTAATTAATCGATCACGACAAAGTAATTCGAATAAAGAGCATGTGACAGGTTACAATATTGATTGTTATTATATTAGTACAAAAAATTGTAGTTAAACCTCGTCAGGTTTCCGGTGCGCCTAGATGAATTGATTATTAAATCGATACTGAATTTCGTTCCCTTTTGCTAGCCATTTTATTGCTTCAACCTGCTGTACTAATGTTGCATGGCAACTTGGGTCAACGTACATCTGTATTATGTTCTGTGTTAATGATCCATGTCTGTTTAACCCGAAAATCTATTGTTGGCCTAGAGTAACTGAGGAAATTTCCTATCCAATACGTTCACTAAGTTTGTTGTCATTAAAATTACCATACAGAAAACAAATTACATAAATGCTCGAATGAGGGTATAAAACACTAATTTTTTTCTTACATCTTAGGATAATTAAGCACGCACAAAATAGCATGCTTCTGGACACACCAAATTAAGACAACTATGAACACATGTATGAATTACCAATGTTCGGATAGTATTTATGAGAGTCCAACATAACTATTTTCAAAATATTCTAACTAGTAAGTAAGCGAAAATATCACTAGCCCTCATACTGTGTTTTAAAGTTTAGTACACAAGACTGTAGTAAGTAAATCAATTAAGTTACAGTTTAACCTTACGAAAATACAAATAAACTCACTCATCAATACGGAAGATGATATTGATGAGGTTGGATCAATATTCTGATTGGGACACTGTGTTTGTTGATCTGTTGTTTCCATGAATACAGGAAGTTGTGCAGTTTGTATATTATTCTGTGGATTACTTGGGAGAAATGGAGGAAGTAATTGGTTTGGTCTAAAAGTTGAAGATGGCTTGATTGGAGAATTGAGAGGTATGTTGGTAATGCTGGTTGGAGTGCTAGTTGAAAAAGTGTTTATATCCGGGGGTAAAACATAACGAGGTCGCTGATTTAACTTGACTGTTGTGGAAGCGATCGGTTTGAACTTGAGATATAATATGAAAATATTTAAAAGTGATTTTACTTAGAATTGTTACAAATCAGTTAACTGTTTAAAAAATAACCAATATGAAGTGATATTTAGACAAATCAAGCTCTGAGCCGAGCTACAATGTAAACACTTTTATACTCCAAATCAAAATTCAAACAAAAATCAGGAGACTAAACGGACGGAATTCCAGTCGATATTCCTTGTAAGTCAGTCACAACGTAAAACTTCGTACGTACGTACATCAGTTCGAGTTGCCACACCACATTAGCACAGAGATGCAGTTATCGATCCAAATCCCGTAGTGCTAGATATAGTAACATTATAAGCAGTAATCCGAAAGATTAGGGTTTGAAGATGTTATTCAAGGAGTATAATACAGTGAAATAAATTTGGAAAGAGAAAAAAAGAAAGCGACATGAAGACTTCAGAAGATTCAGTCAGTCAGTCAGTCAGTCAGTCAGTCAGTCAGTAACAACGTAGAACTTCGTACGTACGTACATCAGTTCGAGTTGCCACACCATATTAGCACAGAGATGCACTTGTCGATTCAAATCCCGTAGTGGTAGAGGTAATAAGAGTATAAACAGTAATCGGGAAAATTAGGGTTTGGAGATGTTATTTAAAGAGTATAATCCAGTGAAAGAAATTTGGAAAGAGGAAAAAAGGGACATGAAGACTTCAGAAGATTAGAATTTGGGAGAACACAGAGAGTGGATGCACATGCGCCATTGCAAACGATTTTGAGCCATGTCATTCAGGGTCTCTAACCATCGGTTGCTATCATCTCGCGGTCCCCAACCAGGTAGTCTACACCTATCAACATGACTCAGTTCACTTGTCAGTGACTTCATGGACTTGTGCCATGTTTTGGTTTGGCCACCCCTAGCATTCTTCCAACCTACTCCTATACCACTGAACATAGCACGTCGAGGCAGTCGGTCGTTTGGCATACGTAACACATGTCCCAGCCATCTCAACTGATGAAGTTTCATCACTTCATCAATTGATTTGCCATCCTTACCTAGTACCCGTTTCCTAACAACTGTGTTATTTACTCGATGGTCCCATGATATACCAGCAATGTTCCGAAGATACCTATGATCGAATACTAGTAACCTATGAATATTCTCTACTCTTACCGGCCATGTTTCACTGCCATAAAGTAGGACGGAACGAACTGCTGCGCAGTAAACACGTCCTTTGGTTGATAGACGGATATCTCGCCTACGCCATAAATGTCGCAAGTTGGCAAAAGCTAGTCGAGCCTTCTGTATCCATGCTGAGATTTCGTCACATACCAGACCACAAGGGCTGATGAGACTTCCAAGATAAGTGAAGCGGTCGACACACTCAACTACTTCACTCCCTATCATTAATTCGGGTGTTAATGCAACCCAATCCTGAAGCAACATTTTGCATTTCGAGGGAGAGAATCGCATGCTGAACATGCTTGCATTGTTGCTTAGAGTGGTCAGAAGACTCTGCATTTTGTCAGCGTCTTCACCAAATAAAACTATGTCATCAGCATATTCTAAGTCAACAAGTGAACCTCCCAGTGGAAGTTCAACCCCTGGAAATCTAGACGAGGAAAGTGTTATCTCTAAAAGTACGTCAATGACAAAAAGTTAAACAAGAATGGAGAGAGTGGGCAGCCCTGACGAACACTACTTGAGGTAATCAATTCTGATGACAGTTCGCCATAAGCTCTCACTCTACCAGTTGTTTTCGAGTAGAAAGCCATTGTAAGGTTAATGTACTTCTTTGGTACTCCTTTCAATGGCAAACACTGCCACAGAACCTTACGATAAACAGAGTAAGGTGCATAAACTCTTTGTCTTCCCTTAAACCGTGAGATTAAAATTGCTTTATATCTTACTTTCCATCAACTAATTCTTTCTTCCCGTACCATATCCTTATACACAATCTCTCTTTCATAGTGATGTAACTACTTCTATGAATTTGGTGATCATCTTGTTGTGCTACTGAGGTGTGGCAACTTGGACCGATGCATATATGTGCCTGGTCCTACGTTGCAGCTGACTGACTATATGATTGATGCTAGTGTGAACCTTCTATTAGGAGGAAAACTATGTGGCACTGAACAAGTACAGAAAACTAGTGGATCTAGAATATTACAAGTTGCCAGTAGGATATTTTGAGATCTTTATGGTCAATAGGTTTAAGAAAACTAATCGTCGTATACTTTGGCTGCCGAGATTTCTGATAAATTAAGGATAAAAATCTACGCGAACATCAGGACGTATCGACTTATGTAGTAGTTTTAGTTCCTTTGAATATTGAAACACTTTAATATACATGAATTAGTTACCAAAGTAAACCTACGGAGCAAGCTGAAGGCGGTGATACTTCCAGGATAAGAGTGTTTTTTGCAAGACTTGATCCAGAGTCGAGAGATTTCTCTTCACTTTCTGGTATAGATGTCTTTGTGTTTACTGGATTTTCTCCAATAAAAGACGATAATTCGTCAGCTCCATGAGAAATAAACGCTGGAAGAAGAATTGGTCCAGTTGGTATTGATGCCTGAGATAGATTTAGCGCCAAACCCGATAGGCTGGGATTGGAGATCGTTGAGTTAGACTGTCTTTCATGACTCATTCTAAAAGGTTGTTTGAACTTGATGTCAACGTCGTTAACACAGACTTTGCCCAGAGGATATATGACTCCTATTCGTTAATAAATTTATGTCGGGCTCACAATATACTGTTATGATTATGTTAAGTAAGCGTCAAAGATGTTCATAAGCTTGGAGGCAGAAGTCCATTTAGCCAGAATTGAAATCTGAAAGATAAATAGTAAGAAAAGCATTCCAAGGTGGGAGCGAACAGTCATAAACCAAAGAATATGTTTAAGAAAATTTGATCATTGAAACAAATGAACTAAATTTGATAGCATAACTGTCGAGGTGCTGAACAAGATCATTTATATTTTCTACGTAAACAAGAAAGAAACGAACTAGTAACTAAGAAATACTGTTTTAAAATCCGTTCCATATGAATGACATTGTGGGAGAAAACTGGGCCACAACTAGGAACGAAAATACTAACACAAAACTTATCAATATAATAAACTCCAGACGCAAGCGATTTGATCCCCGTCCTTGAACTTCATTAGAATGTCTTCTCAAATGATGTCTTAGATGTTAATAAAAGATATCAATACCAACATTATCGCTCAGTATATAATAAGTCGGTATTAAACCACCCGTAACCGGTAATATCACGGGAATTGGTTAAGGCGTCTCAGTCTGTTTCTACAAGATAGGTCAACAGTCGTCTATGTGCTGTTCGGCTGAACGGCTACGTAAGAACTCGGAAGGATAGGGACACACGTCGTTGCCTTTTTGTCGTTTCTGCCTACGCTCCCACTGACTGCAGCTCAGATGATGTGAAAGATGAATTTTACAGAAAGCTGTCCGAACTTCTTCAGAAAGCTAAACGCTCAGACATAGTACTCGTAGCAGGTGATTTTAATGCTCAGATAGGCAGTTTAAACCAAACAGAAAGGCATTTAGGTGGATATTTTAGTATTCCGACACAGCGAACAGATAATGGTGACCGTCTGCTGCAGCTATGCTGAGACAATCGTTTATTTTTAGCAAACACAAATTTTAAGCATAAGGAGAGACATCGTCTAACATGGCGACCCCCTACACCAAACCAACGATGGACTCAAATAGACCATATTGCCATCAGTCATCGTTGGAGAGGGTCGGTAGAAGATTGTCGCTCATTCTGGAGTACCTGCTTGGACTCCGACCATGCCCTAATACGGGCACGCATCTGCTTGCGCCTCACTGGACGCAAAAAAGCCACATTAAAAAGACCCGATAGAACTGAGTTGAGTAACGAGAAAACCAAAAGTAGGTTCCAGGAACAACTGAGGTCACACTTAGGTAGTTGTGAAGACGAGGCTGACCCAGATGTTGCTTGGAAGGGCATACAATCAGCTGTGGAAACAGCAGTGACATCTATTAGTGACTTAAACCACAGAGTTGCAAGGAACCAGTGGATTTCTTCAAGGTCTGTCACACTGCTGGATTCTCGCAAACTCGTCCCATCAGGTTCTGAACATGATGAAGAGCGAAAACAAATCAGATCTAGGTTAAGAAAAAGTCTAAGAAACGACCGTGAGCAGTGATGGGCAATGAAAGCAAAAGAGATGGAAAAGGCGGCGACTATAGGGAACACAAGACAACTTTACAGACTAATAAAAGAAACTGGAACTAATAAGTCAAGTGTAAGTGAGATTATTTCGGAAAAAGACGATACTCTCATCCCCTCCCAGTCCAGACGTTTAGAACGATGGGCGGAACACTTTGTGAAACAGTTCAGCTGGCCTTCAGCTACTCTACAACTACCCTCCATCCCCAGACAGTGTGAATGGAACATTGAAGTAGGTCCCCCAACTCTTGCTGAAGTTCAAAAGGCTATAGTTAATCTGAAACGAGGAAGGGCAGCTGGTCCAGATGGATTTGCTCAAGAGGTCTTTAAGGATGGTGGTCCAATTTTAGCGATTAGGTTGACTAATATTTTAGCTAAAATCTGGGAGTTAGACGTTATTCCATCTGACTGATCGCAATCACTTATCGTCCCAATATATTAGAAAGGGTCAAAATCATCCTGTGACAACCACAGAGGAATTAGTTTAACTAATATAGTACCTAAAATACTAGCCTCGATAATTATCAAACGCCTAACTAAGACTCGTGAACTGCAAACACGAGAGACTCAAGCTGGCTTCAGACCTGGTCGTGGCTGCATCGACCACATATTCACCATTCGTCAGGTTCTAGAACACAGGCGTACTTATCGACGTCCGACAATGGTGGTCTTTCTTGACTTAAAAGCAGCATTTGACTCGGTAGACCGCGAGATTCTGTGGCAGTGCCTGTCATTGAAAGGTGTACTTCAGAAGTACGTAAACCTTGTGAGGGCTCTTTACTCGAACACCACTAGTCGAGTCAGAGCTGACGGCGACTTGTCATCTGCTTTTGCGTCCGTCAATGCTGTCCACTTTCTCCATTTTTGTTTAACTTCATCACAGACCTACTGATGGAAATAACATTCACGTCGACTGAATTCTCGGGTATTGATCTCCTTCCAGGAGGTCCACTTGTCGACTTGGAGTACGCAGACAACATAGTCCTGTTTGGTGAAGACACTGATAAAATTCATTCTTTTGGTAGCACTAAGCAACAATGCCAGAATGTTTGGAATGTGCTTCTCTCCCCCTAAATGCAAGTTGTTGCTTCAGGACTGGCCTGCGTCAACACCTGAACTAAGGATAGGGAGTGAAGTGGTCTAACGCGTCGACAACTTCACTTATCTTGGAAGTCTGATCAGCCCTAATGGGTTGGTGTCTGACGAAATCTCAGCACGGATTCGAAAAGCTCGTTTGGCTTTTACCAACTTACGTCACCTTTGGCGAAGGCGAGATATCCGTCTATCAATTAAAACACGAGTATACTGCGCGGAAGTCCGTTCTGATTTACTTTACGGCAGCGAAACATGGCCTTTAAGAGTAGAAGACACTCGTAAGCTACTAGTAGCTGACCACAGATGCCTTAGAAATATTGCTGGCGTCTGTTGGGATCACCGGGTAAGTAACAGTGAGGTTAGACGCGGGGTATTAGGTAATGATGGTAAATCAGTTGATGAGGTTGTGAATCTTCATCGACTGAGATGGTTGGGCCACGTGTTACGTATGCCTGAACACCGATTACCACGACGTGCAATGCTAACCGGTGTTAGAGATGGTTGGAAGAAAATTAGGGGCGGTCAAACCAAAACGTGGCATCAGTACTTGAAGTCACTAACCTCTAGTCTGAGCCATGTTGGTAGATGCAGACTACTTGGTTGGGGTCCGCGTGACTTTCGTAACCGATGGTTGAAGACTCTTGGTGACATGGCTCAGAATCGATCACAATGGCGTCGGTGTATACACTCCCTGTCTTCCCTTAAACTAAGAGATTAAAATCACTTCATATCTTTCTTTCTACTAACTAATTCTTTCATCCTGTACTGTATCCTAATATGCAACCTTTTTTATATATTACCACGTTTGACCTAACCATTCCTATGAATACGGTGTTCATCTTGCTGTGCTAATGAGGTATGGCAACCTGGACCGATGCATATATGTCCCTGGTCCTACGTTGTAGCTGACTGACTGAGAACTTTCATCATTTTGGTTCCAATTACTGCCGCCTCCCTTTTATTCTATCTTCTAAACACGTGTCAGATTTCACTCGTGACTTCGAGCACATGTTAAAAAAGATTCCGTTGTTCCTCTGACCCTAGGATAACCTTAAGGAGTCTATACGAGCAGGATTAAACATTTATCCTGCAACTCAGAATAGGAGCCTGCCAAAGACCTAAATAACAAACGTGCTGTTTGTGGAAAAGGGTTTTTACTTTCTATTCTTTGTTTCCGCACTGCTGTCCATTTCCCATCACTCGAAGCAGGCACATAAGGACTACTCGGAACGGTGATGGGCTTATCCGGGTATTCTGTTACGACTTTAGAATCGTGACCACCAACATCCAGTAGTATTTCAATCCTTGTTTGTTTCAAAGATGTCCTTTTTCCATGTTCCGCAGATGGGTTTGACTCGTCTCGTAACAGTACGTACTACACTGACACATTCTCTGCTGTCAGTACCTATTTTACTATTGCAGCCACTATAAACTTTCTTAATGATCGACGGCAGAAAGATCATCGCCTCCTGGATCATTATCGTCTCACTCGAACAGACAAACACGTAAAACCAATGGGAATTGGTTTTCGAGCATCTTTTGTATGTGGTCGGTTTAAACAGGAACACACCTTATGGAGCCAGCTGTCACACTCATTACACTGCAAATACTCTTCCCACTACTGTGAAGAATTAATACAGAAAAGAAAGTTAATTCACAACAAGTACGAAACCACTGCCAGTACTTCGGACGCGCACATGCGAAAAATAGACAATTCGATGAGTTTTTAGGCGAAAAGTAGACAACTCAGTGACATTTGAAACACAGAGCGACAAAGGGAGAATCCGCATTATCCCCCCGGACAGAAGAAAAAGCAGACATTTTGGCGCGTTTCCCCTTTATTTTCCAACGCATTTTGGCCTTTATTTTCTCCTTATTGGTTGGTTAATCAACCTATCAATTGCGACCCCAAACGCTACCACATTTCCCTAAATAGTTAGAGATTCGTCATTTACCAGGACCCAAAGACCACTGTAATTCATCACTTTGGAAATTATCATACTACACATAACCAGATTTGCTCGATCTGTAGAGCTTTGGTAAAAATATACTTTATACTTAGAGCATATTAAATCACATCCAGAATATGAGACCTAATCAAAAACAACAAATTTAATTTATCACTGAGGTTAATCGAAAGCATATAACAAAACGGAAGTGTGAACTAGAGATAACTAAATAACCCCAGAAACAATCACGAAGACTAAGAATTGAAAAGCCACACGTACCATAATTTCAAACCACGCTCCACCGATCTTGCGTGGAATTGGATCTTTAATCTTTCCAGTTTCAGTTCTGAAAGGACAGTAAGCTTGATGGTCTATGTTGTTCCTGGCGATGGTGGTCTCTCAGTTGACCCAACTTTCGACAGACGGCGCCTCAAACACGTACTGTGGTAATTCATTCCACTCGTTGATGATTCGATGGGAAAGTCGATAGTCAGCTGACAGGTTATTTGTTCTGGGGTTGTAAAATTTTTTGGAGTTTCTTCAAGAATTCTGCTTTGGAATTTAAAAAATGAGGGGATTTTACATGCAAATTTATCGCTAAGTAATTTGGTAACTGTAATCAAGTCACCTCTAATTCTTTGACATGACAACGGGAATAGGTTTAGCTTGGCTAGTCGAGCATCATGCGAGAGCGTCACTATTCCGCGAATCAGCTTAGTTGCTGTTCTACGAACCTTTTCCAAAAGTTCACTGTCTTTTTTAAGCAGGGGCTAGTCTCTTGTATGTAGCACTCAAGTTTAGGACTCATGAACACTGTATGCAAAGTCAAAAAAGTTTTAGCGTCAACATGACTAAAAGTCCTACGTATCGACTTTAAAGTTCTAAAGCCTCTAACGGCTACTGCATGGCAGTGGGAAGTAGTCTTTAGGTCTTGGCTAACGATGGCTCATAAGTCATTGTGTGTCTGGACAACATGTAGCTCAGTGTTATTCATCGTGTATGTATCTGTACCTTGATGGTCGGTATGCATCACAATACCCTTGGAAGTATTTATCGGTGACTGCCAGGTTTTAGACCATTCAGATAATTTCTCCAGGTCATTGTGGAGTTCTGAGCTAACACTCTTACTTCGTATCACTCACCATACCTTGACATCATCACCCATATACTTTTTCAATGCCCAACTAGGAAGTCTTTTATCCACATCAATTATATTTCACTTCTAGGTGAGCAACCATGCTATTCTAGCACTTGATTTCCATTAAATCGGACGTTCACAGTGAAGGTTATCATCTATCGCTAACTAAAACAGCGAATGTCTGTACAGTGAAAGTTATTGTGAGTATAATCAATACTGAAAACCTCCAGATATTATTATAGGGCTATTTGATCGTAACTACCAAGGCAGTTTCCTGTTACGAAACCGCCTCCCTGAAAAACTCGTTTTATCACAGGCATTTGTGCCCAGAGCCCCACTTCAGATTTACAGCTGACATGGTTTATGAATTATTCCTAAATCTTGCGGTTTACGTCCTTCACCGATTGTACACCTGAAGACGACAGACTTATATTTAAATCTATAGTAATTTAGTTCTCAAATTTTGTATATTAACGTGATGTGAGTAGTTGAAGAGACATAATTGAAACGACCGCAAAATCAACATACGGCTTGAACACAGAACTAACGAACCAAACTTGATCCGTTTAGATTAGACTATGTACTTCCGTATGTGTTACGAGGCGTTTTTGAAAGACTAGTATCAAATTATAACAGAATACATAATCTTCTTTCAATTTAAACGGCTCCACATTGAAAAAAGAACTAAAATGTGTGTCATTATCCAACACAAGAACATTTGGAACTCAAAAACGAGAGAATAACTGCCATAACTTCGTAACAATCTTTTGCGAAGTGAGCTAGTTCATGGGGAAAATCTTCAGCCACTTTGAGTAAGCACCGACACATACGAGGAAATATGTTCATTGGAATGGGCCGGGAAAATCAATATGTATATGTGTAACGGGGTTAAAATCGTCATGTATGATGTTGCTAATAGATTTTTTTCTTTCTATGGCAGGGCAACCAAGAATAAATGCTTCAGAAGAAGAAGGGCAAGCCCTGTGTGCACTAAACTTACAGAGTGACTCATAAGACCGTTTTGTAAACTAGCCCTCCTTTCTGTACATAACCCGCGAGTTTTAATTTTCAAATAAACGACTGGTGGTCTCCATTCCGTGTTCTCTCTGTGGTGTGAAGTGCTCAGTTACCATGGTGTGTGTTGTGGCTTTAGGTCTTTCCGCCTTCCAGGGACTGCTGTTTACACGTGTTACATATGCGACCAAGATGCTTTTGGAGATGTCGTTGGGATTTGGAAGAAAACATGAGAATTTGGTGTAAACATAACATTAGAACAAGATGCATAAAATTCCGAAATCTCATGAGAGAATACTTTATTGGAAACATGTGATTTGGAAATCTTATGAGAACATATTAAACTGGAGCTATTGAATTTAACATCATAATGAGAACACGTTACATCAGAGGTATTCAATTCAGAAATATCATGAAAACATGTTATGTTGAGAGCATTTAATCCAGAAATACAATAAGGAATTTGGATAAATTCCGAGGAAGGCTTCTGAGATCACACCTCATTTAATGAGTTATTCAAGGTATCAGTCTTCTCAATCCAGCCGAATCCTAATAGATCTAAATCATGTCGATTCGTCGGATAACAAACACCAGCGAACTTATGTTCCTTAGATTGTAAGTTGTACAATGATTGTCGTTTTAGCTTCATCAAATCTTCTGAGGCATTTCGGGAAACATGTTCTGTCGGTGCTATATCCCGATGGCAAAATGAATGGTAACTGTTGGAATCTATTTCTGGATTAATACTATGCATATAAATTATCGTATAATTGTTAAGTAACCAAACTATTCATATTCGTATTCCTCTTATCATAAGCTTTGTTTTGACCTATGAATTACTGTTATGAGATTTACCATTCATGAGTTATGCCCAGTGTGTCAATTACTATCTCCCACATTCACAGCCACTCTTGTATGAATCTTGTACAAATGTTATTTTCTACTTTATGGTACGATGAGGTCTGTCTGGTTGGTGTATAAACCCAGTATGTTTGAAATACATGATTCGCATACTGGAAGCTATTATTGACGTTCTTGACTCAACTAGACGGGATAGGAGAACGAAGGACTAATAAGGACGCTAAGCTGCTCATACCGGTCGAACGTCTTTGCATTAACACAGTACTAAGATTGAATTAGTCATATTTACATTGGCGAATATATCACATGATAATTAGTGGCTGTAAAGTCACAAGAGTTGCTCGAACGCGCGGGCACCCTAGATTATGCCACGTATTCTTGGAAATCAGTGTAATATCGGAACTCCTGTCCAGCTGAAGATGTATAAGTTTCCCACTCACTAATAAGTTTACATACTTCCATTTACTTAGAAACTTGAGAACGTGCTTTTGATTTTATTCTGTGGCTGTCGCTTCGCGTTTCCGCTACGACGTTTAGACTGACGTTTATCTGATGAGCGGTGGCCTTCTTTATGACAAATGCGATGACATTTGAAACATTTTTGATTATTGAACGGGCATAATTTCATTAAATGTTATGTTCCACAAGACCAACATGGTGATTGTGGTTCACCAGAAGGTTGCTGTGCGCTTGCAGTGCTTTCTTTGGAAGATTTAAAGGATCATTGTGCATTTATTGAACCAAAATCGGACGATTTCGCTTTTTGTTGCACCATCACGATATCATGTTTGAGATTTAACAACCGTTGACAGTCGGTTGTAACCATTTGCAGAGTCACATTAGGTTCCTGCTCAATGTGCGCTAAAATCCTCGTCGGATATCCACATCTGGATTTTTTAATCCACATACAAAAATCAAACATTTAAAATTGATCTACTGTAACTTCATTTATCTTAAATTGTTAGCATGGTCAGATTACTTTTCCAGCGTAGGTGAGATGATCAGCGGATGAGGATTTTAATATTTGGAAACACTGATAGCGAATGTTGAATAATGAGGATTGCTCACCAGAATTTTTAGATAAGATGTGAACCATCTCATTGAAAAATAAATCTCGATGATTTCGTGGTAGAATGAAATTCATATATTTATCATATCCACGTGTTCCGAGTCTTCTCAGGAGTTGGCGAATTTTAGCTGTATCGTCGAGATTGGGCATTCAACACGGAATATGTCTTTCAAACATGAAACCAGAAATCGAAAATAATATCAGATTAAGAATCATAACTGGGTAGGACTATATTTTATGGACGGCCTTTGAACGAATTTTTAAGTGACCTTCAAACTATTAGCCAATCAGAAGAGAGTTAGTATAAGGTGAGAACATATAAAAAACTTATGAATTACAGCGGATATTCTTCTTTTACATGATTTAATAACTTGTTAAGGTTAGATAAAGGTTCAGATGTCCTGAAATCATAGTGCATGGGGTTAGGGTTTAGGGTTAGAGTTAGGGTTTAGTGTTAGGGTTAAGGTTTAGGTTAGGGTTAGGGGTTAGGTTAGGGTGCTCATCTGCAAAAGCCGCAGCCAATGTTACTGGTGACCTCATAATCCAATTTGCAACAATTATCATGATTTTCCTTAGTCTGAGTCGTGATCGAGCGAAGAAAGTGCCAGTTCGAGCAGACTTTACCTTCTAACATATAGTACAACGAAATCTAATGTCATCACGGTAGTCTGCACATCATACTGCAGTCATTTGATTGCCGCAGTCACAGATACAGGAACTTCTTAATAGTCCCATCTGTTGTAGTCGTTCAAAAATCACCTCTTCTCTAAAATCTGCTGTAAAACGATCGAATGTGAGCATCTCGTATTGAACTTAGCGCCGTGACCTTGAAATCCCTCAAACGCTTCTGATTGGCTCGTCCATAAATTAGAGTCTTACCCATAACTGAATTCACAAATAGAATTCGCGATTCTTTCATACTTATCTGGTTGAGACTTTGAAGATAAATGTAATGAGAGATTCTGCGTTTGTGTATCCAAAAGATTCAGTTGATTTGCATCATTCTGCGCTTGCTGAATCTGTTGAATAGTTTTAAGGCCATCTAAAGACACATACGTCAATGTAGAAAAAGAAATCGCCGTCACCACTTGTTACGTTCTTGGTCTGTCTACCCACTCATATGCAGATGGTAACTTGTCTAAATCTAGATAAAGACCCTGATGCAATAGGCTGACTAGTTTAACCCTGAGGCTAGTATCAGTGAGTTCAGATTGAAACTAACTACTTGGGATAGAGACG